TGTCAGTCAGTCAGTCAAATCCCAACTCTGTTGTTAATTCCTAGTTCTTTTGCTGATTTATGTGAAGCATAAAGAATGAGAATTGTTTTAATGCCTTAAACAGAATAATTTGATCAGAGATCCCGCAACGCGAAGAACAGGAAGATGGGGGATATTTGGGAATTATTCTACAAATCTTCAGAGATAAAGTTCTCTGAAGATGAGAACCCTCACCAGTCATCTCCCTGATCTCACTGTCAGCTGAAGAAGTCGAAGAAGGTGGACCGGACACCCGTTCTCCTCATGAAAAGGAGAAGATCCTCCAGATCCACCTCCGCGAGTCCCTCGGCATTTGTTTGTTAACTTATTCAAGAGTATTTTGAAATTCCTTTCCATGTTATTCACTTTGATGAAGATTACTTCTTGCCAATAGAACATTGATCGCTTTTGTTATTCCCCACGAATTGAAGACTCTCAAAATCAATTAAAGTTTCTTCTTTTGACGAAATCTCTCGAATAATTATTTTATAAATGTTTTTGAATTTGTTTTTACAATTTTCTTTAATCTTTTAATTTTTAAAATTCAATTTAACAAATGAAAAAATTCTGTTAATATCTGGTAAACAATTACGTTTTATTGCATGTTATAAGTTTATATAAATTTGTTAATGTCTTGATGAAATTAAGTGTTCAAACAAGGATATTTGAATTTTCATTCTAATAGATTTTTGTTCTTCTTGAAATAAAGGTATGATTTATGCCAGCTACATAAGACATGAGTATGTTAATAACTCTTTAGCTAAACTAAGAATCACAACGTTCAACAAATAGTATATTTATGTTTGTTTTTGGTGCTCAACAAATTATTTGTGAAAGTTGTTACATTTATCAAGTTATATGTTTATTAATTCAAACAGCATCCAAAGATTTTTAAAGTGCACCTGTGCTTAATTTAGATACTTCATGATACAATCATATCCAGTGGATAATGTTGAGAATGCATATTTTGTCAGAATACTTTTAATATTTTCCAAACCATTTTTTACTTTCTGTTATTCAATCTTTTTTTAATCAAAAGAGTGAAGTTGAAGATGTTATAAGAAATTTGTAGCATCTGTATTATGATAGATTCATTATATTATAATGAAGAAATAAAAATAATCAGTCACTTTCATTCATTATAAATAAAATGTCAACTTTATAACTTACCTGAAGAAAAAGCTCTCGGTCAATTCTCCAATGGAAAATGTTTACTTTAATCGGTATTTGACTTCTTTGTATCATCATTTGAGTCAAAGTCTTATCCTTTTTGTTGAAATTATACCAAGGAATGTTGTAGATAACGTCAGTAATTGTGTCTCCCTTTTATTATTTCATGAATTCAAAGTTAATTAAATGTAACAGAAAATAGAAAAACAAAACTTACTTTTTCCACCATCAAACTTGAGCCGTAACAGAATATCCAAAGATCATAAATCACCATTGGAGCATAAAACACAAAAGTCAGCGCATCATCTAGTTTACCGAACATCGTCAATGCTATGCCAATGTATGCAACGTCTATTATAAAACTAAGGCACATCACACCTCGAAAGTATTTATTGGTATCAACGATTAACTCTCGAACTTCAATCAAGGAATTGTTAATAGTTTTCGAGAAATTTCCATTCTCCATTTTTTGGATATCATTTTCAATTTGCGCATAAAGTGAACCAACATGAATGCAAATGTTGAAAAAGCAACATTGGTAAATCAAACTTGATATTTCTAAAAATGCAAATGACAACATGGAAACAAATATTGATATTTCCTTGAGTGGATGTATAGCAGTTTCAAAAGGAAACAATTCGTTAGGATCGAAAGATGATTCTTCATAAAAAAACATTAATAAGTAAATAACACTTATTAGCAAGGTATAAACCGATAAATAAATGTGAACAAAGTAATCAAAAATCTTGGACTTTCTCGAACAACTATTCAATGTAGTTTCAGTCATCAAATTAGATATTTGATCAATTAAAATCGAAATTTTTTCGAAATTATGATGGAAAGCGAACAATTTTAAAGCGAGAGAAGTGGTGTAAACATTTGCAATGACATCAATAATACTCAAGTTCTCGAAGTTGAAACCGTTTTGATATGAAATTGACCGTAACAAAGTGATCATCTGTTGAAATGAAATCACTTAAGCGATGAAACAATTAAAAATCTATGGACGATTCACTCACCAAAAGGAAAATGTTGTAACAAACAGTTGCTAATAAAATCCTTCTCCACCAAACTTGCCACTTACTGTTAAATCTATCAGGATGAAAACCAAACAAGCCCATAACACGTTTCATATTTTTAAAACTCATGATTGAAGAAGTTCGAGATTATGCTTTGAATTACTGAAGGAGTAGAACAATGATGAATTCTATCCCAAAAATAAAACGATCTTCGTTCTTAGAACAATGAAAGTCAAATAATTCTCATGACAAAAGGAAATATCGAGAAATTTTATAAACTTTTGACCTTTAATTATTTTTAATTTGATAATTGTTGTTACTTTGTGAGCTTTGGAATAATTCGATCTAATTGAAATAGGAATGAGAAAGTCAAATTAAAAATTATCGAGTTATCGAAATTTCTCACGGTTAAAATATTTTGGAAGCAGAAAGAGGGAAAAATATTTCACCTTTAAAGTTGAAAGTTGAACTTCTATTAAAAAAATTGTAATTGCGTCAATTTTCTTCATTTATTAATTCAAATAATTTGTTCAAATAATCTAATTCAACATTAAATTTTATTTTATGTTGCCCGACATGATGCTGACATTACTTATGAGGTGCAGCATAAATGCATTTTTAATGAGGAATTTTTCAAATTAAATTAGAAAATTAATAATTCATTTAGGTACCTATAACATAGCTTTGTAACAAATTTAGTTTTCATTTTTTTTTTTGTTAACAAAATTGGAAAGAAATTAGAGAAACTTTTCTATGCTGCATAATTATCAGTTAAGATGCATCTAATTCCTTTAATGTTTTTAGTTTTTAAGATCTTATTTGTTTTTAATGATATGAATTTAAATAAGATAGAAACACAAAAAACTTATTTTCCAAACAATGAATTTGAGTTTTTTATTACAGAAAGTAGATTTGGAACTAGATAAGGCTTCTTACTCTTGAATTTAAAAGTTTTCTTCTAAGCTGTTTATGAAGTCGTCTTCATTGATGAGAGAATTTTCAGTTCCATCTTGTAATGGTTTGGAAAAGCTTTCGAGTAAAGATTCCCCATCAACTTCTTTCAACTGCTCTTGAAGAACTAAATTCAAATCATCCAAGTCGTCATCTGATTTTGAATCATGAACATTTAAATCCGAAGGTGATAATGAAGTGTTTTCACCCAGTATTGAATTTTCATTAGCTTCAATGTCATTGTTTTTAATAATTTGATCTTCTTTGGATGCTTCACTTGGTTTTTCAAAGAAATCATTGAAGTTATCGTCAGATGATATATCAACAGTCTCATGATTTTCTTTCGACATTGTTTCATATTCGTTTGAAGAGACGATTTTAGTGTCATCAACAGGCGTTTTATTCTCAATATCATCATCATCATCAAGTTCCATGAGATCAGTTGGCGGAACATTGTCGATCTTTAGTATCTCAGATTCTGTTGGCATCGATGTGAAACTTGTGTTACTTGCCTCCTTGTCATCTCCGAATTCCTTTCCGAGTGAAGCTAAACTTTCCTTATCTGAAGATTTATTTTCATCATTCGAAGTCACGTCCACATCATTTCCATTGTCGTCACTGAGATGAGCCTCAGAGGCTTCTTCGGCTTTCGATTCATCTTTATCACTTTCTTCTTTCTCCTCAGAATTATTTTCAGGTTCATCAACGTTTTGTTCAGTCAAATCCAACTCAACATCAACTTCCATTAATGCGTCTGGTGTCAGTTCATGTAGGAACGAAACTTCTTCAAGTCGTTGTTTTATCTTCTCCATGTATTGCTTGATAATTGGATTCTTCGTATCTTCAAGCTTCTCGACTTTCACTTTGATTATTTTCCCTAACTTTGGATCATTTTCAATCAAATTTGAAGCATCAGATATATCTTCATTATCAAGTGGAATTTGTATCATTGGAGGCTCAATTGGAATCGAAGGTGGAACAATTGCTTCAGAAATCGATTGTTCCGGTGACTTTTCTTCTTCATTCACATATTGAATGTGCTTCAAAATCGGTTTCTTCATTGCCGTCGTTGCTGCTGTCGTCTTTTCTTCAACGGTGGAATTTATTTTGACTTCAGTATTCTTTTCGTTATCATTGCCATCATCATCATCATCGTCATCAAGAACTTCAACAATATCAGTCTTTTGTTCAACAATTTCTAACTCATCATCGTCAGTTTTTTCCTTTGGCGATTCTTGCTTTGATATGTTGACAATTTCATTTGCAAGATTTTCTTGTAATGATTTGAGCTTTCCTGAAGTATATGTAAATAAATATTGGAGATGAATGTAAAGACCTTTGAGGTCAGTAAAAGTTCGAGACGTCTTGAAACTTGTATTATTAGTAAGCGTGATCATCTTATTGATTGTGTGTTGACAAATCTCCAAACCATTAATAATTTTATCCTCAAATTCAACCTTTGCTTTTCCGAAAGGCGTGTTAGGGTGTTGTGCTCGAGCAACAGAAATACTTCCATTCTGCTGTGTGAAAACAGTCGACCCACCAGAAGATTGAGCTGGTGTTGCTGCTGGTTGTGCTGCTGCTGGTAATGTAGATGGTGGTGGAACAATTGGAGTTGCTAAAACACGACCATCAGAAAACGTGAATCTTTGTTGAGGTTGTGCTGGCTGACGATTACGAGCAGAAGGTGCAACTGGTCGTGGTGCTCCATATGAAGGAACTTGTGGCAGTGCTTGTCGAATTGTAAATTGCGGTGGGCCGCGAGGTTGACTTGAACGAACATTTCCAACCGGTGGAGTTGATGGTTGTTTTCGAACTTGAATTAATTTCCCATTTGGCAATCGGAATATTTCTTGACGAGCTGCATGATTCAAATCAATTTGATACCCATTCACATTATGATAAATTGGCACCGGTGATGATGTTGAAGGTGATAAAGCTTGTCGTAAAACTCGTTGATTATTTCGTAAAACTAATGGTGGGGGAGCAGGTGATGTTGATGGGACTGCATTTGAAGGTGGCAACGTAATATCTTCGGTGTCACTGAATAGCCCGATGATATCAGGAGTGCAAACAATTTCGCTGTTGTTGCTCTTTGCTTGTGGCCGCGAGTTCACAATCTTCTCCGGTAATGACGTTCGCACTTGATAACTTTTTATTGATGGTTGCATTGACATTTTCTTTTGTGGTGGCTGTTGAGTAAATCCGCCATTTAAAGGTCGTTTGACTGGAGCAACTGGAATTTTTATGAAAGTTTTGCGTTTCTTTTTGGGACAACATGATGAAAAATCTTCATTCAAAAGATTGTCTAATTCTCCTTCAGATCTCACTTCTGTCTTTTTGATTACTTCAAGTTGCTTAATCATGTAATTACGCAATGCCCAATGTTGTGCACGATGATTGACAAGAATGGATTTGTTGCAAACAAAGCATGACCAATCATCGTTCTCTTCAATTTCTTTGACATACGAGTTGGAAAGATTAGAGCGAATGCATTTGTTGCAGAACACATATGGACAGGTTGAACAGCAAAAAACTTCTCCGCCTTGACCACACCAGCGACAATAATACTCCGAGCCATCTTCACCTTTTCCAAACTCACCAGAGTTCTATAAAAAGCAAGAAGTTTAATTAATTATGTTCAAATGTATTTCAATTTTCAATCATACATAAAATGCATAACATTTGTTGCATTGTGTGACGTGAAGAACTTGATGAGTGCGAATAATCTTCTCAGCCATTGGAGCTGTTCCAATGTGGATATCACATGTTGTGCAATGAAGTCGTTTCGATGAAACTTCTTCAATTTTCGGATATTTTTTCATAAAATATTCCTTATCGGATTGAGGGCAGTTTTCTTCAAAATGTAATTTATATCCATCATTGTCAGAATGATTTGATGGAAACATCATTGACAGCTTTTCTGGAAAGAAGGAAAGAACATTAATAATCAAGATCATTGTTGAATTGCGTCAATAATATGAGTCATCAAGGTGATTAAGGGAAACTTCATATGTAAAGTCACAAAAATCTTCTTTTGTTTTAAAAATTAAATTATTTTTTCTGTCTTGAAGTTATTTGTGATAATTTAAAATATGCAAATAGAAATATTTTCACGTCATTATTTTTATGTAAGTGTCATCACTGATAGAACGAAAATTAAGTAATTAACTGAAACACAAGTAAATCGGAACTTTGAACAATTTTGAAGGAAAAAAAGGTTTGTTGAGACAACAAAAGCTTTGTAAAATCAGGTCAAAACATGGTTTTTGAATTAGAAGCAAAAACTTGTTAAGAACTTTTTGATAAGAAGTATAAATAGGATTCGCATTAATGTTTAGCTATCAGTTACAATTCGACTCGTGAAGTTTTTAAAATAATGATAAAGTTAGTAGCTATTGTATTCTTATCTTTAGTATCAATTTCAAAAGGGCAACTTGATCCATTTGAAGTTTGTGTAGGTCAACCAGATGGTACACTTGTAGGTGTAGGTCAAGACATTTCATGCACGGCTTATTTTTATTGTGAAAACGAATACGGATTCGAGGAAGACTGCGTGGAAGTTTATCAAGATGAGTTGGAGTTTAATTATGAGACTTTAGCATGTGACTTTGCAGACGTTGTTGGATGTGCAGCCTATCAACCAGTAGATCCGGTAGATCCAGTAGATCCAGTAGATCCCGTAGACCCGGACCCACCACCTCCAGAGCCTGAAACAGATCCCGAAACAGATCCACCTGAAGTGTTACCTCCTGTTACGGAACCAACAGAAGCCCCACCACCTACGGAATTACCTCCCATAGACCCTTCAATACCTGACATTGAGTGCCCGACAAATAGACCAGGCGAAATTATTTTCTTCGAAAGCTCCAATTGCTCAGAATACTTCATTTGTTCGAATGGAGTTCAAGCGAGAATGTTGTGCATGGAAGGATTCACATGGAACCAAGACGAATTACAATGTGATTATCCAATTTTTTCAAGGTGTTCGGTAAGTTTTTTAAAATCTAAACTAAGAATTTGAAACGATTTTTACAAACATTTTCATAAGTTCCAATGTAGTCAAATCAAATTCGAGTCTAATTAATAATAAATAATATTTTGATTTTCTCAGTCAAACATCGAGATTGATGGAATGGACGTACGGTGTACAAGAACGGGTTTTTATACGACGGCGTATCCCAGAGACTGTACAAAATTCGTATTCTGTAGTCAGGGAATTCCTATGGTTCAAAATTGTCCCATTGGTTATGCCTGGCATTTAGAACGATGTGTTGAGAGACAATTTGCTTCATGCCCCGATTTAAGAAGATTATTATAATTTTTTTTAATTATCTTATCATATCTTGTTTTGATTAAGAAAAAATTTGGAACAAGTAAATAAATTTAAAGTATTGTGATTTATTGAATTTAATATAAAATGTTTATTTCGTTTTGGTTTAAAAACCTATCCCTTTCATTTTAAATTTTGAAAACATTGAATCGGAGTGACAACGTACATTTATTTAAAAAATTTATCTAAATTGTTTGAAATGTGTTAGTAAGCTATGGAAGGAATGAGCCGAAGTAAAAAACATACGAGAGCAAAAGTACACGAACGTAAATTCAGTGATAAACTAGGGGTAAGAAATATGAGGGTTTTACGATTATATCAAAACGAAGAAAATAAATGACAACGACAAAAGGAAATGAAGAAATAAATTTAATAAAATGATCTAAATGTTAGACGACAATGTTATTAGAATTATCCTTAACTTTTATGCGCAAATTATAAATCAGCAAAGTGAGATTTCAGTGTTTTGAAATCTGCGGTAAGATTCCAACAACGGCCGAGTAAGCGATGTAACCAAACGAAAATCAACGGTTAAATGGAACGTATACAAAAATCAATATAACGACGGAAAGAAAAGAAAACCCGAACATTTCCGAAGTTGCGGAGAGTCTTTTCGAATTCGTCTCTGTATTTTTTCTTTTCAGGTTTTCATTTTAATTTTATAAAATGTAATGATATTTAGATTTTAAATGTTAATTAGAGACTTCTAGTACTATTAATAATTAATAAGATAATGTTATTTACCTTTTGCAAGTTTTTATTATTTATTTCACTGTTAATACGCGCTCTAGATTTCAATGTTTTTGCGACCGATTCTCAATAACTCTAAAAGCGAACTACAGATATACGCATTACGTCAGTATTCGTGGGTAGGTGGCGCTTTGTTCGCTCTCATTTTTTATTTTTCTCTCAAAACAAAAATTCAAAATGGATGTCATTTTTTTTTTTAATTCAGAAAATTTTTATTTGTCAAAAAAAGCGAGTTTATTTTTTTTTATTTAAAACAATAGTCAATTTTAATTTAATTTTTCTGGAGGAAAGCCTACAAAATTGTTTAAAATTTTGATTTTTTTTTTGAAAACATAAATGCGACCGGAATTTCGTAAATTTAGATGCTTTCCAAAATTGAACTGGTCTTAAATTATCCGCACTTTTTAAAAGTCTTAGGTTCGAAACCATTAAGATTTTTTTTTTAAATCTTTAATTTTTAAAAATAGCCTTACGATTTGATGAAATAAAAATGGAAAATTAATTAAGAATGATATTCTGATTTAAATTTTTTTTTAATTTCGGAATTAAATCGATTAAACATGGTGGAGATAAAATTATCTAATTCATATGGACTAAAATTAATGGAAAATGTATGAAGTTTTCAAAACATTCTCATTCTCAGAAACCATTAAAACTCTCTTCAGAGAGACACGAACTCGAAACGAATGATGCCAAGAAGAAAAATGTACTCACGTAAACAGAGCCAGAATCAGGGTTGGAGAAAGTTGAAATCAAAATAACTGTATTCGCTTATGTAGACATAATGATTTTGTTTTATAGGACGTTGAAAACCTTAATTAAAAAAATGTTTATGATTTTTGATAAATTATTTTTTTTTTCTCCAAAAATATTGAGTTTTTTTTTCTTAAAAAGAGAGCTTTACGAGTAAATTGTATGAACAAAATTTTTTTGAAGCCTAATTTCAAAGAAAGTGACAGTGCTTCAACTTATGTTCTATATCAAGATATGTTAAAAGTTTTACTCACAGTATGCTTGTGCAAATTGATAAAATTCCAGTTCAATGATAGATTGTTATCTTTTTATTTAGTTTTCTTGATGTTGAACACAGTGTTACTAGCGGGACTTTAAAGGGGGTATGAAACTATTATTAGAAGTTTATTACTCCCTTCAAAGGAAACAGAAATGATGATTTTATTTCTTTTATTCACATACAACCCTCATGAATTAATTAAATTGATCACACACATTTATATGTTTAATGGTGAAACATAACCGTAAAGAACCATTATTTCATACATATAGGTAGCAATAAGTTAACGTGCTGTCATTTATGAATAGTTCCAAAAGTTTTCATTATCCAATTGAAAACATTTGTCTTATTTTTATTTTTATCATCGTATTATTAATCTGAAACTTGATTACACTTCATTTAGTCATGAGTGGCTACGAAAGTCATGTGAACGAGCGTGTTTTACCACGATTCAACAATGTAGTTGACAAGGATTTCATTGTTTTTCACAAATGGAAAATTTCAACATCAAAGTCTCATATCCTCAAAAGTATTTGTACAAATAGGGAGCAATGTAAAGCAGAAGATAAAAGTTGCTGTGAACTTTGTGTGTAAGTTATTTAATCCGGAATGAATATTTTGAGTATAATTAATTTGTATTACTTTTGTATTTAAAGTTATCGCTATGCACTAGATTTGCCTCATCTTCCTGACATGGTATTCCATAAGAACATTTTAACTCTGGAACATGATAATGGAGCTGTGTTGACTTTTAACCCAATAGAAGCACTCAAGAGGGTACGCAATGAAAAACTTGATATCAAAGTCAGTTGCTCTGACGAATGGCAAGAGTCGCGGCCACGGGACAAAACAAAAGAGAAACTAAAGCCATTTGATTGGACTTTCTCGACAGATTATCAAGGCACACCGAACGATAAATTCGTCATTGAGCCAACTGACTTGAAAATAGATAAATTCAAACTGATGGCTAAGGAACAAATATTGTTTTATAACGATCTCACCCTATTCGAGGATGAGCTTCATGATAATGGAACTTCTGTTTCCTCTGTTAAAGTTGTAAGTTGTAAATTTTTATAAATTGATTTCTTCTCTCAGACTTTTTTTGTAGCGTGTTATGCCATCAGGCTTCTATATTCTTCTTCGCTTCTTCATGAGAGTTGATAATGTCATGATCAGAATGAACGAAACACGTTATCACTATGAGACTGGCAAAGATTTTATCATTAAAGAATACACAAGTCGTGAATCTACTTACGATCGATTGAGAAAGGTCCCTCCAGCTCTGTTTATCTGTCCAAATGAGATTGGAGAACATTTGCCTGTTACTGTTTGCACAAATGAAATTCTTAAATTCCAAAACTAATCAAAACAATCCCCAAATTGTCCATTAAATATTGAAAATAAAACTATCATTAACTTGAAAATTTTAACGGTTTTATATTTAAACTTTTTTTCCTCTTAGATCATTGCAGCGAGCGTGATAATTACACTCTCCACCTGAAACTAGACTTTGGGAAAGCCGTAATTTTTTAGTAAAAGACATGTGCGCTTGTTTACAAATTGAAAGAAAAATTAAAACGCCAAAGATTCAACTTAAAATAGTTAATTATGGGAAAAAAACGTTTCAATGAAAAGGGTCGACAAAATGTCGAGACTATCATTGACAATTCCAGTACTAAAAAGGTGAGTTTTATATTAAACAATTTTTCTAAGATATCTAAATTGATTTTTTTTAATTTTTCAAAGATCAAACTTGATAATGCAATACAACAAAACAATGATGACTATAAATCAACAATTGGCGATGAGCTTCTCGTGTTGCCATCTGAAAAACGTGCAACCAAAGTTAAAAAGGTTCAAACAGTGACGAGAATTTTATCAAGAAAACAAAGAAAGCGATTGGAGAAAATTGTTGAGAAGAAAAAAAAGAAGGAAAATGTAATAACAATTGATTAATCTATGTTTGAAATTCTGTATCTAATTCATTAAACATTTATAGAGATCATCATTATTGGAAGCTTTAGCTAACGTTCAAATACCATCAGCAGAACTTAAACAATTGACATCTTTGACAGCTGTGCAAACTAAAGGTTTAAAGAAGCATTTCCATGAACAAAAATATGGAATAAAAGATGTCAAGAGAAGTGAAAATATCGTTGATGATGATTCAAAGCTGACAAGTACATTAAAAGGCAGTAAAAGAATGTCAAGTGACGATGATTCAAGTGAAGATGAAAGCAAAAAGAAGACAAGAGATTACAATGTTGTAGGTTTACAAGAAAGTTCTTCAGATTCGGAATTTGAAAGTGAAAATGTTGAAGAAATAGAGAAGAAGCAGAAAGTCGTAAGTGAAGAATCTATTCCTGAATTAAAACCTGTTGAAGAGGTTCAGGAATTAACAGCAACTGATTCAATTGAAAGAAAGCCTGCTAAATATGTTCACGTTGATCGTGATCCAGAAATTCAAGCAGCACGTTTAAAGTTGCCAATAATTGTTGAGGAACAAGTGATTATGGAAACAATCAGTGGGAACATGGTGACGATTCTTGCAGGTGAAACGGGAAGTGGTAAAACAACACAAGTTCCACAGTTTCTATATGAAGCTGGTTATGCTTCTGAAGGAAAGATGATTGGAATAACCGAGCCTCGACGTGTTGCTGCAATTGCAATGTCACAACGCGTTGGTCGTGAAATGAACTTATCAACTAACATTGTTAGTTATCTTATCAGATTCGAGGGAAATTGTACAGACGAAACGAAAATCAAATTCATGACTGACGGTGTTTTATTAAAAGAAGTTGAATGCGATTTTCTTTTGCAAAAATATTCAGTCATTATTTTAGATGAAGCTCATGAACGAAGTGCTTACACAGACATTTTGATTGGACTTTTATCTAGAATCATTCAGTTGAGAGCAAAACAAAATGATCCACTCAAACTCATCATCATGTCTGCGACATTGCGTGTTGAAGACTTTACAAAGAATACGAAACTTTTTAAGGAACCTCCGCCTGTTATTAAAGTCGATGCTCGTCAATTTCCCGTCACAGTTCATTTTAATAAAACCACAGCTCAAGATTATGTTCGTGAAGCACTTTTAAAAATAATTAAAGTTCACACAAAACTTCCTGATGGCGGAATTTTAGTTTTTGTAACTGGACAACAAGAAGTTCGTCATCTTGTGAAGAAACTTCGGAATTTGTTTCCTTATTCTAAGAGAAGTGAAAGAAAAAATGAAGAAAATGAAGGAATTAAAGAAAATGATGACAAATTTGATTATTCCAGTGATGAAGAGTTGGAAAACATTCTCAATGTTCGCAAAGCAATCAAACATCAAAAGAAGAACAAAAAAAATTTTGTGACTCAAATGAATCTTCCAAAAATTAAATTAGATGACTTTCAAATGCCTGGCGATGATACAGAAGTTGATTTTAATCAAGATAATTTATCAGAGGATGAGATTGATGAAGTTGATGAGAAACTTAATGAAATGATGGTTGAAAGTCACTCATCGCAACCACTTTGGGTGCTTCCACTTTATTCACTTCTTCCAAGTAACAAACAAGCTCGTGTGTTTGAGACGCCGCCAGAAGGAACAAGATTATGTGTTATTGCTACAAATGTTGCTGAAACATCTTTGACAATTCCTGGAATTAAATATGTCATCGATTCAGGTCGTCAAAAAACGAAACTCTACGACAAAGTGACGGGCGTGAATGCATTTGTTGTGACGTTTTCCAGTAAAGCAGCAGCCGATCAACGTGCTGGTCGTGCAGGTCGTGTTGCTCCTGGTCATTGTTATCGTCTTTATTCGAGTGCTGTTTATAATGACGAATTTGTCGGATTTTCACCACCAGAAATTCAAGAAAAGCCAATCGACGGTTTAGTTTTACAAATGAAAGCAATGGGAATTGACAAAGTTTTGAATTTTCCATTTCCATCGCCACCAGATCGAGTTCAACTTGAAATGGCTGAGAAGCGTTTGAAAATTATTGGCGCGCTTGATAAAGTGAATAATCTTGGACGAATAACTAAATTAGGAAATTCCATTGCAGCATTTCCTGTGTCACCTCGTTTTGGGAAAATGCTTGCATTGAGTCATCAACAGAATCTTCTGGAATATACAATTTGTATTGTTGCAGCTTTGAGTGTGCAAGAAGTGTTGCAAGAAGTTCCTTTAGCTGGTGAACAAGGAGAGAAAGACAGTAAATGGAGAACAAAAAGAAAAACTTGGGCTGGAAGTGGAAATTCTTTAATGTTAGGCGATCCAATGATTCTTTTAAAAGCAGTTGGTGCTGCTGAATTTTCTCATTCACAAGGCAAACTTCAAGAGTTTTGTGATGAGAACGGTTTAAGATTAAAAGCAATTAAAGAAATTCGTAAACTTAGAATTCAATTGACAAATGATATTAATCTGAATGTTCCGAAACTTGAGCTTACAGTTGATCCATTGATGAAACCGCCAAATGATCAACAATCGAAAATGCTTCGACAGATTCTTTTGTCGGGACTTGGCGATCAAGTTGCAAGGAAAATTCCTGATGAAGAATTAAAACTTAAAGATCAAAAGCATAAGTTGAAGTATGCTTATCAGATTCCTGACATGGAAGAACCTGTTCACATTCATTCGTGTTCGATATTGAAGAAGAAGACGCCAGAATGGATTGTTTATCAAGAAGTTTACGAAACAAGAAATGGCGATGACACGAAAATATTTATTCGAGGAATTACAGCAATTGAACCCGAATGGTTGTTAAAGTTCGTGTCGAGTTTGTGTAATTATGGAAAAGCTTTGGAAGAGCCTGAACCAAGATATGATGCTGAGAATGATAAAATTTATTGTCATGTGAAGTCAACTTTTGGAAGATCCGGTTGGCCTTTGCCAATTGCCGAAATTGAGATGCCAGAAACTCTTGACAAATATCGAAATTTTGCTAGATTTCTACTTAAAGGAGAAGTTTTTCCAATGCTTGAAGATTTCACAAAAAATCTTCTCAGCTCACCATCGACAATGACGAAAAGTTGGTCAAAGTTAATGCCAAGAACTGAAATGATTATGAATGCTTTGGCGAATCAACAAGTTGACTCGAAGGAAAAGATGATAAAAGAACTGAAATTGAATAAAAATTGTAAGTTAAATTTTATTTCCATTTACAATTTATATTAAATCTGCTTTTCTTTCTCAACAGTTTTATTGAAACAATATTTAATGTGGATACCTGAAGCTTTACAATTCAAAGTGACGACAGTTTGGAGTGAATTAATCAACTAAAATTTTTAAGTTTAAAATTTGAATTTAATTTAAGTAAATAAATTTAAATAAACTTTCAAATTTGTTGTTTCTGAGTATATCAAACAAGAAGCGATTCCTCACGTGTTACCAGCATTTCCAGCATCTAATCCGGTATCTAAAAGGCAACAAAATCTATCGTTAATAAATATTTATCCTGCTGTCGTGGAACTAATGACTTTCCTTCACTTTCTTCGAACACGTTTCCTGTTGTTTCTTAAAATGTAATTTTAATCTTTACACCATCTTCATAAATAAAAGTAAGAAAAATTTAAACAATTCCTTTTTCATTTTAGTTTCTACTTTGATTTCAATTCAACCACAGTTCAAATTCATTTCATAGCATTTTAAATAAAAAAGATTAAGAAAATGAATATTTATATCATCCTTCTCTTCATATTAATTAATCCTTCAAACTCATTAATTGAAAGGAAAGAAATTCTCTTAATTGCATTTAACAGCATAGTGAAAAATCATTTCAACAAAAATAATGAGAGATTTGATATTTTTTGAAGCTTCTTTCAATTTTACTCCAATGTGTAACCATTGACGTTAGGCGAATAAATTTCTGAATTTTCATGGTTCGCTGTTTTATTTCTCTTGTCATTTATTTTCAGATTATTATCAGACTAGCACAATAATGAAAAGAAAAATAAAAAAATGTTGACTTTTCCATTGTTGAAATGTTAATGGAAGGTGAGAAAAATGTATTCTTTTATCATCGACATATAAAACGTTAACTACCTAGGCTTGAATGTTATTAAGCACCGAACATCTGTAATTAACTATTCAAAACAAAACAAATAGCAAAACTTTCCATTTTTTATCATGGGGGTTTTTTATTTTAATATTTCCCATCTTATACAAGAATAGCGACTGAAGATGTTATCCAGCTTTCATCGAGTCTTCGAATAAACCATTTACAAATAAGGTTCTGGGAATTCAAAAGTAACGTCGCGACCAGTGAGTTTTTTGTAGACGGCTGTGAATGTGTCCACCTTAAATTGATAATAAAAATTGAAAAGACATGTTAGAATAATAAAATAAATCACAAAATTGAGAGGAATGTTTGGGAATTTAATATTTTGTATTTCCAATTTAAGAAAAGCCTTTGAAAATGCCGATAAACCCAATAATTAATGTTTGTCCTTCTTGACGCTCATTGAACAATTAAAATGTTTCAACAAGTAACACGAGGACAATGAAACGATGATTTCGTTACTTACTTTGTGTTCAATTGTGGTCTGTTGGTTCTTATCCAAATGCACTTTAATTAGTTGCGAGCCATCCAACTTCACACGAATACGTTTTCCAACAATCTCAGCAGGGAATACGAGATCGTCAAGGATGTTATCATAAACAGCGGTCAATGTCCGGCTACGTGGACGCTTTTGTTTATTTGGATCTGGACGACCACGACGTGGTTTTGGCAGAATCTTTCGTTCAGCACAGAATACGACATGACGTCCTGAGAATTTCTTCTCTAACTCGCGCACAAGACGAATCTGAACTTTCTGGAAAGCCTTTTGCTTAGGAACTGGAACGTAAATAACAATTGCCTGTAACCACAAAGACACATTAAGCATCTCATTTTTTAAGTCACTTTTCACTTTGTCACCTTTTTCGTTCCAAATTCAATTTCACGGGCACGAGTAATGTGAAGTTCCCGTAATTGTTGTTTCATATCGGAATTCATTTCCAGCTCCAAAAGAGCTTGCCCGATTTGCTTCTCAAAGTCATCGGGGTCAGCGCCACCGCTCTTTCTAATCTTTGCTCCAATCATCTAGAAATAGAGGAAAAGGATGATTTAATTAAAATTGTTTATAACCTAAAAAATATTCTAAAATAATTTAAACTGTAAATAAATAATTATTATATAAGATATCTAGTTCTTGAAGAGTTTATACACTATTCAAATAAATTTTATAAACTCACTTTTTAATTTTCTTTAAATACAAAAATAAAAGAAGAATATTTTAGGAATTTATACACAGAAAAATAAGAGAAAAATTATGATCATAATAACAGCTCATATTATTGTTTAAAAGGAAATTAATGCAACTGTGCTAAAGCACTAAGTCTTATGTTTAGGTTCACATTTAATTTAACTCCATGATAACTAGATTTCTTCTATAAAATTAAAATTTTACAGAAATTTACTCACGTTTCAGCAGCGGGTTGCATCAAAAAGGAAGAGTTTGTTGCTTCAATTTGAAAAGAAGCAAAAAATTAACGCAAAATTTAAATTTTTAAAATTATTATGACGGTTAAAACATATGTATAGCGACTGAAATTACCTCGATAAATATATTTCGTTAATTTTTTTTCTAATTTTAGTTTTATATTTTAAACATAATGTTGGCTACACATAAATTAGTTTTTAATAGTGTTTTTGAAACTTTAGAAACGTAAACACAATCCAAGGATATGAATATGTTGGCTCAACATTACCTTTCTCTTGCTCAACATTTATGACAATATGCAGGATGTTGTTGTTTATTTGTATAAAAATATTCAAAAATATTTTTGAAAGTATGCAAATTATCATGAACACACATAGCTGCATCCACAACACGCAAGATAGCCAATCGAATTGAAATATACAGAAGAAATGCCGAATAAACCTGTTCCAATGATCACACATTTCGAGGAAAGAAAAAGAATGTTTGACCACTAAGTACCCACTTAGCAAGAGATGTAGTGTTATTTATAGATTCAATCAAATTATGTGTGATCACCACCACAAGAAAAATATTTGAATGAATTGTTAGTCTTTAGCAAATCACCAGTGAAAACAGACGCGCAACGTGTTACTGCTGATGATTATCGAAAAAAGTGACACGAAGTTATTTGACATTCAACATTGAAAGAAAAAACCATTTTAAAGAAAGAAAAGAGGTTTAAATTAAATAAAAATGACAAGAATAACGTGGATGCAGCATAATTTTAACGAAAGTTATTCCAAGGATCCAAATCAAGCTGCAGTTCTTCTTGATTCTGTGACTCATCGTAACATCTCAGATTTTAGATATGCTTTGGAAGTGATGAAATGTAATCCAAATCTTCTCGATGCGTCAACGGGATTATCAGTTTTCGAAACTGTTTTACAAATCCCTAAATCTTCTGATTTTATTAAACTTTGCATAAACAGTGGTGCTGATTTCTATAAAGTAAATTTCCTTGTTTACTCATCTGACACTTCGACAGATAAATAATATTTAATTATTTTTTTTCTTCTCTTTCAACAATAGAAAAACGCTACTAATCGTTATCCAATTCATTATGCTATTAAATCAATGTGTCCACAAAACCTTGAAATATTTCTCCAAAATTACGATCCATCCAAAATCAATTTGAAATTTAATGGACAAAGTTCTTTACACTTGCTGATCAGTTTAATGACGAACGCGAATTATAAAGATGTTAGTGAATGTGTTAAGCTTTTGTTAAAACTCGGCTGCAATCCAAACATACCAGACAACACTTTAAAAACGCCATTCTATATGTTACTCGGGAAATATCCTTTATTGGATAATTGTAAGGAGATTGTCAACTACTTCATGGAAAATTGTGACATCGACTTTCATACTTACAAAGGTCAAGAAATTATGGAGATGATGGAAAAACAATTTCCCCGGTTTAAAATACCGCCACCAGAAATGATTGTAAACTTTGATTTTATGATGACACTTTTGGATAATCGCGAAGAACTCGGATTTGATATTTATTATAAAGCATTCAAAGATTCAGTTGATGCGGAGAATCAGAATAATCTTACAGATATGTGCTTGAGATTTTTTGAAATCGCAGTAGCGAATGGCATGAAGGAATCTGTTGAATTTTTATTGGATGAACGTGTTGATGTAAACATGCGACCAAACGAAGCGAAATATTTGAAACCGCCAGCATTTTTAGCTTGTTCGAACGGTTACTTTAGGATACTCGATCTTATGTTGAAAAGGCCTGAATTGAACTTTGACTTTCAAAATGAATCGCAGAAGTTCACATTGCTTCATGAAATCTGTCAAAATTTTGCATCAAAAACTGAAGAAAACAGAAATGTTAGTTTTCAAAAATGTTTTGATTTAGTGTTGAAAGATTCACGGTGTGATCCAAATGCTGAAGACGATCTTGGTTGCAGCGCCTTACATTACACAGTCAGATACAAGAATGATGAAGCAACAATTGCTTTGCTAAAGAAAGGCGCTTACATTAATGAAGAAAGTTTTTTCGGTAAAACACCGATTGATGAAATCTCACGTGTTACTTTTGAGAAGTTTTTAAATGAATGTATTACAACGAATACGTCAAGAGATAAAAATCGTCAACCTGACATACAAATCGATTACAATTTTCTAATGGCACCCAAAAGAAATCGAGAAAATGACAGTGCTGATCAGGATGGATTTTGTAAGGAAATTTTAGCGTTAAGAAGGATTTCAGAAAATGAAGAATTAAGAAGTTTAGTTAACCATCCCGTGTTAAGCAGCTTTTTGTTTCTTAAATGGTCCAAATTAAGTTTTCTCTTTTACACAAATTTGGCCTTGTTTTCAATCTTCATGGTAGCATTTATCGTATTTATTGTATCATGTCAATATCTTCCATTAGCTGAACGCGAAGATTATTGGTTTTATTTGCTTTTCGAAAAACTTTCAGTCATAAGTATTTGGATGTTGATGTTGCGTGAATTCTTCCAATGCATTTTAAGCTACAAACATTACTTTAGGGATCTCATGAATTGGTTTGAAATTTTTCTTATCATTTTAGCGTGGGTGGTTTTTCTTTTGATATCAAGATTTGAATCAAAGGATCGAAGAATTCTTAGAGCTGTTCTTATTTTATGTGCTGCTTTTGAGTTTCTACAGATTGTCGGTAATCTTCCTATCTTATCAGTTTCAACTCACATGGTGATTTTGAAACGAGTTTCAATTACTTTCCTTAAATCGATCGCGTTGTATTCAATTCTTTTATTATCTTTTGGTTTATCATTCTTCATGCTATTCGGTGAAAGTCAAGATGGAAGTCCAAGAATGGTTAAGAGAGATGTCAATGATGATGATCCAGGATTAAATTGTCCAAAATGTGACGATGATGATGATAATGCTTACAAAAATTTTAAAGGTCCTGGAATTTCAATTTTAAGAACTTTCGTGATGCTTACAGGAGAATTCGATGCCACTGATATGAAGCTTGATAATGGAGCTATTTGCGTAATATTCACAACATTTGTATTCTTAATCACAATTGTTTTGTTTAATCTTTTGAATGCACTCGCCGTGTCAGACACTCAAGCAATAAAATCAAAAGGAGAAATCATCGATTTGATTCAAAGAATTCAAGTTTTGGACAGTTATGAAAGAATAATTTTCAACAGAAGTTCGAGAATCAAATCACGTGTTGGGCCATGGTTAAGATCATTTATAAGTCTCTTCCCGAACACCATTCCAAATGGAAAAATTATTATCAGACAAAGTCGAAACAATGAAATTTTAACTTATAGAACTAATCTACCAACAAGAAACTTTAACGACAGTAGTTGTTTGGAACTTGAAGCTATAAGTAATCGATCGTTTCGAAAAATCACAATAAATGACCAACTTCTTGCAAGACTTCAGAAATATTCTAAAATGAGTGCCAGCATAATGAAAAAAATTCGACATATTCTGGAAACGAGAGAAGAACAGAAAATTACTGCTATGAATGAAAAAATGTTGAGGGATGATGTTGCAGCAATTAAAATTCAAATGGATAATCAACTCAGATTAATTAATGAAATTTTATCGAAACAAAATTTAGATTTGAAGAAGGATTGAAATAATTTTTAATTCAATAAAAAATTTTGTAATAAAATTTCCATTTATTCAAACACTTTAAAAATTACTTTTGCATTTAAATTTTAATTTTAAAGCTTTGAAAAGACGGGAGTTTCTCCTTTTGTTTGGCCAGCAATAACAGCATTAAAGAAGTCTTCACTCTGCAAATTGAGTTTATTAATCTCTCTGATTTGATCGAGACCTTCTTGGTTTGTGTGATCTAATGAGTAGACAATATTGCGCTTGGTAGCTTGAACAGCAACTGGAGACTTTTGAGCGATTGTGTCAGCCAATTTTATTGCTTCTTCGATCATTGCGTTTCTGTCTTCGAAGACTTTGCTTACAAGCCCACATTTTTCAGCTTCTTCTGACAACATTTTTCTCGCCGTAAAGCAAAGTTCACGAACAAGACTTTGACTACCGATTGCTTTTGGCAGTCGTTGCAATGTTCCAACATCAGCGGCCATTCCAATGTCAACTTCCTTCACACAGAACCAAGAATCTTTTGTACAGTAACGTATATCAGCAGCAGTAATTAAATCAACTCCAGCGCCAACAACTGCTGAATGTGTACAAACAATTATTGGCTTGGGACAAAGTTCTAGTGAAGTTATTGACTTTTGATAAAGTTCAATAAAATCATCAAAGAGTTTTGCTTTTCGTGACACGTCTGACATCTCTGACAGCTTTTGCCCCATGTCCATCATGTCAAGAAGATCAATGCCAGCAGTAAAATGCTTTCCGGATCCTGACAATACAATTGAACGGCATTCTGAATCTACTGCGAGTTCATTAAAACATTTTCCGATCTCACTTTGAAATAAAAATTAATTTCTATTGCAATTCAACCAATCAAATTTGATTCTTAATTATTCTTACATCCACATAGTCTTATTAAAAGCATTGAGACGATCAGGTCGATTGAGTTCAACTTGCTTAACATATTCCTTAGGTGATGTCACCTTTAGTGTCTGAAACGTCGATAACATTCTTGATTGGAATCTAAAGACAGTTTTCGCAGTTTTTAACATATTTTTATAAGTTTAAGTAATTTTTACGAACGTTGAGATACCAGAAAGTGACACAAGATACTAAATGCAATGATGTTTATCTTTTAAAACTGATTTTTAATCGTAAATCTTGATAAAAACAAAGTTATCACCAAACAGCAGATCAAAGTTCACGTTTTGAATAATTTGAAAACATTGGTAAATATCCCGGACAAACTCGGACACAAAAACTGAATACTCAACATCAATTAATCCAGGTTAAAGAAGATTAGATTAAAAACATAAACATTGAGTTCTCAATTTCCAAATTCTAGTGTAAAACATTAAAAAAATATATAAAAATCTTATTTAGAATCATTTAAACTGTTCTAAATTACTGTTTGCTGTCTATAGAAAGGCCTACTTTTTACAATTCCAAGAATGAGTGAACCTGGGTTCATTGAAGTCAATGAAATCACAGATATACTTTCTTTCGTGAAAAGTGTACGTTTTAAATTAAAATTTACATAGCTCAACGTAAACTATCTTTAAATTTTTCGATTACAGATAGATTGGAGAGACAGTTGGCTCTATTGGCTATGTGCATTCCACATTGGCATTACAACTTTAAGCTTCTTAAGCAGGCATATGGTGAACTTTCAAATTGTATTGTTTTTAGGACTACGTGAGTTACTTAAGGCCATTCACTATTCGATAAGTGATTACTAATCGCTCAAATTTCAGTTTTATTAGTATATTTTTCAGAATTCATAAATGAGATAGCCGCAAATAATTGGTACAGATTCTCTAAACAACAATATTTTGATTCCAATGGGCTCTTCATTAGCATCATTTTCTCGAGTCCCATTCTCCTTAATTGTCTATTTCTTCTGGCCAGATTTCTCCACCAAAGCTTTGATCTGATGACTAAAATAAAAACTGCCCAAATAACTGCTCAAATCAAACGACAAAATGAAGCGCGTAGGGAGTTGAACTGTCACGAAAAAGATGATTAAAGTTTTATGTGAAAAAGAATTTGTTTATTTTTATGTTTTATGAATTGTTGGGAAGCAATGTTTATGTAATTAACAGTCATCATTGTGGGAACCGATATTTCGTCCTAAATATTTGGAAGCACGTCTGCTTCCTCTCATTCCTTATCCGAAACTAAAACTACGACTCGAGAGACCCCTCGGAATATTTCCCCTCGTAATCCTATTCCCACAATCCTCCCTTGAGGCGGAAAAAAAAATAATTTTATATTATTTTTANATACTTGTCTTGCTTTTACTTTATTCGACTCCTTTCACACAGAAAGCTATCATTATTTTCCTTCATTTCACTTAGAAAAATATTTAGAATAACTTTTTGCCGAATTTCACAAAGAAATTCTTTACTTCGACGCCATGTTATGCCGCCATGTTTTTCTTTTTCTTTATTGTTAACTTTATTTTTCTTTTGACTTACTTCACAAAGAAGTAATCTTTATTGCTGATTTCACACAGAAATCCTTTTATTCTTATTTCACACAGAAATATGTCTTTCTTACTTCACAAAGAAGTAGTCTCTTATGCTGATTTCACACAGAAATCCTTTTTCACACAGAAATGCTTTTATCTTTATCATATCATTTTTTCTCCTTTTCTTTTGCAAATCACAAAGAAATGCATTCATCTTTTATATTTTGCGAAGAAATATTATTAATTTATTTCGCAAATCACACAGAAATGCTTTTATCCTTATATTTCACGAAGAAATGTTATTTCGTTTTCTCTTTTAATTCGTTCTTCTTAGAAGAACTTTTTACCTTTCCTGTGTAGGAAAACCTTTTCTTCACGAAGAAGTAATTGTTTCATAAAAAATTATTTTACTTCGAAAAATGCTTTCCCGCCTTCACGAAGAAGTGGTGATTTATTTCACATAGAAATTTCCTTTACTCCGCTCATAAATAATGACTCTTTCTTTATATTCTTACTACATAATGAATGAGTTCTTTACTTCACTTAGAAGTCCTTGCTTTATCCGTTTCTATTTTCTTAACATTCTTTTCGATATATATTTTTTTTTATACCACTCCACGGTCTTCAACCAAAACCTTACACCAACGTCCCCGAACCTTTTCTTCTGCCCTAAGTCGCGCCATTTTGGATAAATTATTTTTCCAAGAAAAATCATCTTCGACTCGGAATGTTATGAAATTCCTGATTTGATGGGCTAATTCTGCAATCACTGACAGTTTAAATACACGTTAGAAGTATCACGAGTACTTCTATAAACTTTCTTGCCTGTTCACATGTACACAGGCGACTAACACGACAAAATATTTTTTTCGCGAACAAAATGAAGCGTCGGTTTTTATTTCACTTATTTTTTTTTTTCACTTCAACGTTTGAAATCCATAATACTCACTCTTCTACTTTAACCTCCGTTACATTTAAGATATCCTGTTCTCAGCGCCATTTGTGGGAACCGATATTTCGTCCTAAATATTTGGAAGCACGTCTGCTTCCTCTCATTCCTTATCCGAAACTAAAACTACGACTCGAGAGACCCCTCGGAATATTTCCCCTCGTAATCCTATTCCCACAATCATTAATAAGGAAAGTTCAAATGTTGCCATGTCTGTGTTTGATAGGTTTTAATTTTTTTACGGGAGATAAATAAATGTGATTCACAATTAAATGTTTTTAATTTTTTCTTATCTGATATTTCAGTTTCATTGAATTTTTTTTCTTCTCATAATTGACAAAACAGAGAATTAATTTTGACTACTTGAGAGACTTTATTTCATATTTTATTTACTCATCTTAAAGAGACATCAGCAATGAAGTCAACAAGTTTGATTTTAATTTTTCTCGGAATATTTTATTTCACTCAAAGTCAGGAGACTCAGACTGACGACAAAGGTTGTGTCTGGGATTACAAGTGTTGTAAAATTGTAGAAACTGAAAATAAAACTACGTGCGCAGAGCTTTGTGAAGCTGAAATAATTTGCAATTCCACAGAAATAAGTGAAAATCAGGAAGAAGTAGTGGAGCCTCAGATTGGACCTTCAGTTGCTATCGCATCATTTTCTTCTTCTATTAAACATTCAGTTTGTAGATCAGGTTATAGACTTGACGGAAACGGAAAGTGCAGGAGAGTTTTTCGACCAGCTTCAACAACTGAACGTCGGATATCTGATCAATTTTAAACTATGGACAAACAATTTTTCTTTATTTTTATTCTTATAATTTCTTCATCATGTTTTCCATCATCTGACCCTGACGAGAACTGTCGTTGGATCTATCGATGTTGTAAAAAATTTGGAGAGTCATGCGTTGAAATTTGCGAGCCTGAAATTATTTGCGATATTGAAACAACAACTGAAGAGGTTGCAGAATTAGCATTTTCACTATTTCAAGTTATCGCAGCTCCTTGTAAGCCTGGTTATCGAAATATCCAAGGAAAATGCAAGAAGATTTTTTAAAAAAATAAAGATTTTATTAATAAAATTTAATATCTGTTTCTATTTTTCCCATAAATTCTACGACACTTTCCGAAATAATATCGAAAGCCACTTCGACAAACGTTTGATTGCAACGAAAAAGCTGCGACAATTTCCACAGGTTCACCAGACGTTTCTACTTCTTCCACATCATTGGAACTTTCAGTTGCAGTGCAATTTATCTGTGGTTCACACATCTTAACACATTCCACTTGATTATATATATTTTCTTTAAATGAACAACATTTATAAGTCCAAACGCAATTTTCTTCGTTGCTTGAAGATTTGCATACACTTGACAGTATCAAAATGTACAAAATCACTCGTCTCATCTTCAAGTCTTTCAAAATATTTTAAAGTCAGACTGATAATCTTTTGAACTGAATTGCTTGAAGCCAAATATTTAGACGTAAATTTGTTATTTTAATTAAAAAACTTTTTTACACTTTCCACTTCCAATCATTCGATATCCTTTTCTGCAAACACCAACAGCAATGATATTTGTCTTTGCAGCTGATTGAAATGTTGTTGTTTCAATTTCATCAACTGATGGATTACTTGTCGTTGATGTAACTAATAATTCTTCGTCTAATCTGAGAAGATGCTTCTGATCACTATCGTCACAAATGTAATTTGGCTCGCAGTATTCAACACATTCGAATTGAAATTTCCGACAACATTCGTAAATGTAGTAGCATTTGATTTCTTCGTTAGAATTTAGTAGAAGGTTTTGAGATTCAACATAAGAAACGACAGTAATGAATAACAAATACAAAATACATTTAACGTCCATAATGGGAAACGAACGACTAAGAACAAATTAAGGTTTTAGTAAAAACCGAAGAGATTTTGATTTAATGAGAAAAATGTTTTTAAAAATGAGCGTTTCGTATTCTGAAATGATTTTTTACAAGACATTTTAGCGTAATCAGTCTTCTCTCGTAAGTTCTTTTCTTAGATTTCTGTTGACATTCTGATTAGATTGAAATTTTGAAGGCAAATGTCAAGGCTTGATGTAAAATTTTGATTTGATATTCTTAAAAATAATTTTTTTTAATTATTTTTATTGCCACAATTATTCGCAAAACAAGGAATTTTATTAAATGTTTAGTCACTAAATATATTCAGAGATCTGTCTTAAAACTTCCTGATGCATGTTCCATTACGATTCAATCTGAAATGATTAGAATTTTGCAAAAAATGATTATGATGAAGGGATTTTAATTTAGTTTACCGAAAGCCTCGTCTGCAAGCTCCAACCTTAATTACATAAGTAGATGGAAAGAAATCTGCTGATGTCTCTTCAATTTCCTCTGAAGATTCAATTGGTCCTAATTTATTATTCACATCGTTTCTGCATTGATAGTTTGGCTCACAATATTGAACACAATCAAATTCTATTTTCTTGCAGCATTCATAGACATAAAAGCATTTTATATTTTCCCTTGATTCATGTCTGATATTTTCTAAACTTTTTGTCTCAAAACTATAAACAAAAAACAAAAACGCTAATAAAAAGGAAATTGGATGATACATCATGGACGATGTACGAATTACTGATCAAAGTAGCAAAATTTTATTTATAGAAAAAAATTCGTGAGAGAAATTATTTTTAAAGTTTAATCTCTCTAAAATTCCCTGAAACATAAAAAAAATATTAAGTCATTCCACTTGGAGATTCCCTACATGAAAAACCCCGAAAACAATCAATATGAGTGGGATTAAGAAAAGATTAGAATGAATTGAATTTTATTATCTTTTGAAACTTTTGTTTTATTGACTGTAAGTAGCTGATGACAAATATTCAAAAAGCTATTTTTAAAAAACTTTCAGGCTTGATTGAAGCTTTCTTGACACTTTTCAAGTTCATTTCTCCCCCATTTATTAATAGATATTAGAAAGCTAAGCTTTTGATTTTATTCTATCAAACTTTCGTTTTGAATCAAACTTCTTGCTGGGGAGAAATTCATTGCGTAATAAATTCCTTCATTAAATTTGACACTAGCAACATTTCTTCGAAAAAAAAAGAAAAATTTTATATAGCATTAAACGTTCATCGTTCGTTAAAATCAAGAATTTATTTTGTTTATAAATTTCGCTAAATTCTAAGCTGAATAAATTTCTGTATTTTATTTTCGTATAAGCATTGACACACAATTTTAAATGATCTTGAATCGGAGCTTTCTTAACTTTTCTGTTTTATTTCTCGTGCAAAATTTCAAAGGGGAAAAGAAGGCAAACTAGAAGCCTTGGATAATATCATCTTCAAATATGTATTTATGCTATGACTCTCAATACAAAAAAGATTTTCAAGTTGATCTTTTCTACTGTTAGTTACATCTTTCATTTTCTAGCTTCAATGTTTCTTTCATTTTGAGAATTTTCGATCAACATTTCATCATTTTAATTATTTATCTAAAAAAGTGCAATGGATCTGTTTTGTTTATAAAACATGAAAATTGATGTTTATTAATTTTTAAATCAAAATAAATAATAAAATTGTAATTTTGTTTCTTTAATATCCACACATCATAGGTATCAGTTTTATATCCTATGTTGGTTATTTCTTTTTGAAAATTATTGTTCTTATTTAAAAATAAATGAAGGATTAGCTTTCTATGATTTTATTTTCCTTACGAGAATCACATGCAATAAAGCTTTTCGAAGACAGAAACGCTTTACTTGTCCTTAGCTGACTCAACCTTCTTGTCACTGCACATCGGGATAGCTGCCTTGACTCTGAAAGGTTCACAATAATTATTAGATAAAATATTTAAACGAATTTTGTTACTTCATGAACTCACTTGTCAGTTATTTCCATAATCTTGCTTTTTACTAAATCTAAATATTGATCAATGTTCTGCTTGTTGGCTTCGTAGACTTTGGGTAAGGTGAACATAGCGATGTAGGCTGATCGAAATAAATAAAAAATAATTAATATATTTACGAGTTTCACAGTTTTTCCTTAGCACTTACAAAGAATGATGACAGTCATTCCATTGAAAACAGCTCCAATGTAGGTCAAAAGCCACAAAAGTAAAGCAAATTTGAGTGAATCGATAAGATCTTCAACTAAGAACAATCGACGTAACTCGGCGATGTATGCATTGATATGAGCAACCACAACACCAGCAATCTGTTGAACTTTTTCAGGTGACAAAGTCAAATCGATGTCCAAGAATTCTCTGCGAATGATTTGATGAAGTGAAAGTTAATTAAAGGAAATTTATCACAACTCACTTGAATGGATGTCCCTCAGAAGTTTTTTGAACTGCCGACATGATCGTCTTGTATATTCTGAACGAAATAGTTCCAGCAAGTGTCAGCAGTGACAAATATGCAAAGACGCTGATTAGTGAGAACATCGACATGGCGAGAAGAATCGCAAGGCCAATGCCGAAAACAACTCCAGACTTCTTAACATCGCGCCAGTAAATCAAAGATTCCACTATAAAAGAAATGAATGAGTTAAGAACTTTTAAGACACATCATCATGTTTTTTTGCTAAAACTCAAATTCAAAATAATTGATAAGAAATTTATTTTATGGAGGTTTTTGTAATCATCACCTGAGCCATCATTTAATGACTTTCTATGTCTTAAATAATCATTTCCATTTTGATATTTTCCTGACATTCTTCGCACCATTTTTAATAAATTTTAACTTAAATCATCCAAAGAATTTTTTAAATTTTATCACACATCAGTTTAGCAAAAACTAATTTAAAAAAAATTTTGTGTTTTATTTAAAAAATAAAGAAATTTCCAATTTAGCTTTTATTNCATCGACATGGCGAGAAGAATCGCAAGGCCAATGCCGAAAACAACTCCAGACTTCTTAACATCGCGCCAGTAAATCAAAGATTCCACTAGAAAGGAAACAAATATATTTAAAAACATTGTGCCATTTTATCAGTTGAAACATTTTATTAATTATTTCATATAAAATGTAAGCGATTAAAACTTTCAACAACCGGCAAATCCCTCAAACAAACAACTCAACTAAGTACCTAATGGAAAATGAAATTCATTTTTCTTCATTATAAAATCATTCACGGTCGAATATTTATGTTGATTGTATATAAGCTTGTATATAATGTGAGTAGAAGATCTTCAGAAATAAAAACGATACAAAATGAAAAAAACAAGCCCCATTAAAAAAGAAAAGAAAAATTGAGAAAGAAAAGAAAATTGTCAAAAGCCGACCCGAGAATAATTCTTAAAATTCGTTTTAAATATATTTATAAATTGTTTTTATGCAAACATTTATGTTTAAGTATCTAATTAAACTAAATAGTAAAATATTTTTTAAGAATATCAAGGAAATTATTAAGAAATTAACCACGGCTAGCTAGGTGCACGAAAATCTGAGGCGACTAGAGGTCTTGTAGACTTCTAATTTAAGATTGCAAGAGAAAAATATGAACTTTTCTTGGCGACATATTTCTACATATATTTAAATTAATCCAAAGAAGAATCACATTTGAAATTTTCTTCACTTTTCTTATATTTTCGCGATGTTAAAGAAAAATTTAAATCAACTTCTACTTACATCCTTCTTTTGAAAACTTTACTTCACTTAAAAGTGTTTTAAGCTCATCTAACATTTGTGCCATTTCCACTCCAATTTCCCTTTGAGAGTTGCGGAAAAATTTTGACCGATATTTTCACGGGATAATTTTACACGAATAGGAATTTCACTTGTTTATTATTAGCCCGTTGACGTTTACTTTCTTTTCTTTTTTTTTCAGCTCAACGACTAAGATTTCAACAAGCACAGTTTGAAAACATGTAGGTAATTAATCAACACTGGAAGTTATTGAACTATCTGTGATATAATTTTAATCTCCGTAATATGATCGGTAAGAGAAAATATCTTCTCAAATGAAAAATTAATGTTAACCGACGATTGCCGTGGGAAAATTTATCGATGCCACGTTTCAAGATATACTCATGGTAACAGTGAGAGAAAAACTGATCGTCTGAAAGTTTTCATTCTAACAAAAAATTTGTGATCGCGAGAGAGTTTTCCGAGAATATTTTAACTTAGCAGATTTTCCTTTTCTTTTCTTTCCTTTGCGACGAACGAAGAAAAATGGTTTATTAATAAACAAGAAATAACAGATTACTTTGGCATGGCTTTTCGCAAGAGAGAATTGAAAAAAATTTCTTGACTTTTCGAGTTGAAGATTATTTGAGAAAATTACGCGAACTCGACAGAGAAGTAAAATTTTCTCTGTCCCAATGTGTAGGTGGATTTTAAAGTAAATATTTTACCATCAAATCTGTCGAACAGCCAGCACGCTAATGAAAGCACAAGCTTTGTTACCGGAGAGTGGCATGCTTCAGACACATGGAAGTTTAAATTATCATCACAACGAAAATTAAATTATAGTGAAATAGCTGAGTTTTTTTTTCTATTCGTTTGTTTGTGACTTTAAAGTTAACGATGTATCGCGTATCATTAATAGAATTAAGCAAGAAAAAGTTGTGACTTTTTTAACATTGACTCACCTTTTGGATTTAAGCGATCAGGCTTGAACCAAGCATCTGAAAATGACAAAACAAACAATATGATTAGTTCGTGATCTCATAACTTTGAAATTTTAATTCAATCCAAAACCATTTGATGATTCTAATCTCATTATGAATTTTCTACGCGTCCAAATCCAATTCATTAAGTGATCAAAGTCAACCACTTGAAGACTCTTTTTCTATATTTATAGCGCTGTGAGGGTTAAAATTACTCTCTTCGGAATTGACTACTCTTTTTGAATTATTTTGCATTAACTTTTATTGATTTATTTAACCATTTGCTGTTATTATCTGACCGGCTTCCGCTACAAATATCTGCTTTAAGTTGAATCATCACAAGAAGCTTCAAAATTTTATTTCCCTTTATCCCAAACGTCTATCGCGAATTCACATAAAAGCTTCTTTTTTCTATAATTTATACGTTGATCGAAGGACGTGCATCTTGAGTTGTTGGCACAATTTTTATTGTGTACAAATCGATTGGAAATCCAACTCGATAAAAACTTTCTAATCGATCATATAAAATTTTTAAAAAGAAAGAATCTTTACAAACGTAAACATTAATTCTAATTCATCACAATAACAACAAGTCTCGCAGCTTCTCTACATCACTAAAAGCAACAATTTACACGATTTTTATTTTACTTTTCTCATGTTGTTGCAACTAATACTCTCGCGCACCCAGTAAATTAATAACATTACATAAGAAAAGAGAATACCGACAAAATATATTCAGACTTCAGGTGAAAAAAAATTATTACTTGGTGATAGAATTGAACAAAGTATCGGTGGACGTTTGCACAATCCATTCAAGATCTCAGCTGAGTCTTTTGTTGTCGATGAGTCATCCATAATTTTTTTTTCCTTTCAATTGTTCGGTTGAAAGCTTCGCTTGAGATTAAAATTAACTTAAATAATTGAGTTCTATAATCACACTAGTGTAAAATTTATGGAAACAGTTCGCGAGATCACACGGCGGAAAGAAACTTTTATCTATCAATGTTTATATTGTTAATAAAATGGCCCAGCGATTAAATCAAAATCGGGGAAATGCGAAAACAGTTTAATCAATACTGAAAGTTGAGAATGAACTTATTTTTTCAGTCTGAACGATGTGAAAATAATTTTTGTTGCTGCCCTGCCCGTTCTAAGTGCCCTTCCACCAGCTGTTTGACGCATGCGTCGTATGAGAAACTTCACCCTAATCATAGATGATTCATGAGTGATGTCATTTGAGTTTAAACTTTCTCTGCTTCGAATGACTGAAACAGGTTCTTTTTGTAATTCATCAGAATAAATGTCATCAACGTAGAACGAAACTTTCGTTCAAACCCCCTCAGATAAAACAATAATCGACTTGCAAAACAGCGCTTGCTCGTATTTATTTATACTAACCTAATCCAATGTTTTTGAATATCTTTTCTGCTTCAATTTGTGTATCTTGAGATGTTGGCTTCTTGGTAGGTGCTGGTGGTGGTGCGGTCTTTGGCTTCTCAACCGACTTCACTTGTTCAGCTACAGGTGGCTTGTTCATCTCAACAGCCTTTGGAATATCAATGGGAATTTCTGGTGAAACTGGAGTGGGATCTTTGAAATCTGATAATAAATCTTCTGAACTACTGAAATTATCATTTGCAAACGATTCTTTAACATTCTTCGGAATGTTTGGTGCAACATATTGATTCAAATAATCTTCATTCATTCCTTTGAATTGAGCTTCAAACTCTGGTTGAGATGATTTCATTTCATCAATTTTTTCGTCTCTTTTTTCCACTGAAGGTAGTAGAACTGAATTTCCACCATGTTGTTTTGTATCATCAAATCCATCGCTGAAGTTTAAAAAATCATCAACATTTACTTTTGGCTTTTGAACGTCAATCTTTTCCGCTCGTTCATGACTAAGAAAGTCAGCAGTACCCTTCAAACTATCGAAGTCATCCATTTTAACAGGAGATGATTTCACTGGATTATCATCCAAAAAAAAGTTTTCGTTGTCCATCTCAGATATTTATCACAATAATTTTTATACCCACACACAATTTACAATTTCAAAGTCACAACAATTTGATATCTACTTGCAAAATAGAAAATTCTCCTAATTTTCTTAACAAATTCCTCGTGTTATATGTAATAGATTTTCCAAAGAGCTCTTCGCCGGTTGAGAAGAGAAAATAAACTGAACTGGAAATATAAAAATAAGCGAGTTGGTGGTGAAGTTGAACGTCGATGTAAACGTATTGGAAAAAAAATTCGTAGCAGATGAATTTTGTTTACGTTTTTTTTTCATCACATAAAGAACTCATTGGAACGAATGTCAGAAAATAAACAATTCGTAGACGCAGCGTTTAAATTTGCGCTTGGCTTAGTAAGAAACAAATGGTGACATTACACAACATTCAAAGTCAAACATTTGAATATTTCAAATTCACATCCCTTGAAGTTTCTCACCACAATGACGTCATCATTTTTCCACGTTTCGAGGTGAAAAATTGTCCTTGGAAAGTGTTTGATTTTGATCTTTAAAATCTTTCTTCATACAAATAAGACAAAAATTATTTTGTTTCATTTTTTATTAATTTTAAATCTTACTTTATGCTTTTCACTCATCTCGAAAGTGAAAAACTTTAATTAACATTTCATTTTCTTTTTTAAGCCTTTATGCTTCGTTGATTTCAATTTCCTTTCAAACGTGTCTTAACAAGCGTGTATTGTGTTAGATTCAAATCACCTAACGCTTTGATAGATAAAATATAATTTTTCTCTGAGAATTATCATTACATTAAAAGCTCGAATAATGCTTTGTAAATAATCTAAAATAAATGAGTTTCGAAAAACGAATTAAAAGTTAAAAATCTCTTAACAAAGCGTACAAAAAAATAAAAAAAGATCTGAAAACAATTCTTAATATTAGAACTCTTGTGGCTTATACATAGTTAAGTATTTAAGAGAGTAAAGTTTACATCAAATATAATTTTCGTTCTGCGCATTGCTTTAGAGATTTAACGAATTTCTGCTGTCTGATTGGTGACATCATTCATATGCCTTTCATTTCGTTGTTCACATATATTCATCAGCACATTATATAAAACAATAAAAGATAAATTCACAGAAATTTCATTAAATTTAACACAGTTTATGAGATTATTTTGGTTTCGGACTACACAACTGAAGCGTGAATGAAATTTAAGATTTTTGAAATGAAATTTACATTGAAGAAAGTTTATTTGGTTTTAGGAGTTTCAGCTTTCCTTTCATTGCCAACAGGAATTGCAGCTTTGACTCTAGAATTGAAAACATTTTTAAAATTTCTCGTTAATTTTATGTTTTTAATAAATAATTTACTTTTCAGATATTTCCATGATTTTGTTTTGAACTAAATTCCAATATTGATCAATGTTCTGCTTGTTGGCTTCGTAGACTTTGGGAAGTGTGAATAAGGCAACGTACGCTTTAAAGATAAAAATGTTATTAATATTATTAGAAAGTAAATGAAAGTTTAATTTTTTAACTCACATAAAATGATGACACTCATTCCATTGAAAACAGCTCCAATGTAGGTCAAAAGCCACAGAAGTGAAGCAAATTTAAGTGAATCAATAAGATCTTCAACTAAGAACAATCGACGTAACTCGGCGATGTATGCATTGATATGAGCAACCACAACACCAGCAATCTGTTGAACTCTTTCAGGTGACAAAGTCAAATCGATGTCCAAGAATTCTCTGCGAATGATTTGATGAAGTGAAAGTTAATTAAAGGAAATTTATCACAACTCACTTGAATGGATGTCCCTCAGAAGTTTTTTGAACTGCCGACATGATCGTCTTGTATATTCTGAACGAAATAGTTCCAGCAAGTGTCAGCAGTGACAAATATGCAAAGACGCTGATTAGTGAGAACATCGACATGGCGAGAAGAATCGCAAGGCCAATGCCGAAAACAACTCCAGACTTCTTAACATCGCGCCAGTAAATCAAAGATTCCACTATAAAAGAAATGAATGAGTTAAGAACTTTTAAGACACATCATCATGTTTTTTTGCTAAAACTCAAATTCAAAATAATTGATAAGAAATTTATTTTATGGAGGTTTTTGTAATCATCACCTGAGCCATCATTTAATGACTTTCTATGTCTTAAATAATCATTTCCATTTTGATATTTTCCTGACATTCTTCGCACCATTTTTAATAAATTTTAACTTAAATCATCCAAAGAATTTTTTAAATTTTATCACACATCAGTTTAGCAAAAACTAATTTAAAAAAAATTTTGTGTTTTATTTAAAAAATAAAGAAATTTCCAATTTAGCTTTTATTTTAACTTATTCAAGATGAACATTAAAACTGAATCAAGAATGAAGTTGAATAAAGAATGAAAAGAGATTTTTTCTCTCTTTTTAAAATCTCTCTTTAGGAATATTTAAGAAGTAAGTGTGTCGCTTCTTTTAAGTGTGAACGCTATGAAAAAATAATACAAAACATAACACAATACAAGCATGAAGCTTGACGAAAAGTATCATAAGAAAACAAACACTCTTAAAAGAGCAATTCGGAATTAAAATACCGATCATCTTGCGATTATCTGTTAATGAGTTACATCGAAAAACATTCACAGACGATCATCATGTTTATTGACTTTAACCCTTGAAATTCCAAATCGTGAGCTGACAAGGAAAAATCTTTTTTTCAATGACAATTTCAATTTACTTACGTTGTTCCCTTGTAAATTGAACTTCCCTACAAAAAGTTACAAATTCACTGAAAATTTGTACCATTTCTAAAGAAGTTTCATAGAAAGTTTTGAAATAAAAATCCATTTTAACTATATTTAAAATTAAACCACAAAAACTTAATAATCCGAGATTGATCTTTAAAAGTTTATCGTGATGTTAACATGAAAAAATAACAGAAAAATAAACTGCACTGATCACTTGCAAATTGGAAAATGTAATAAGTTCTCTAACTCGACATTATTTATCTCAAACATGCTTTCTGAGAAAATTCGATCACAACTAAACAATTTTAAAAATTAGCGAATTTGAGAGAAATTTTTAATTCAATTCATATTAATTTATTTATAACATAGAAAGGCTTAGAATTAAATTAATATTTAACAGCACTCGAGCTTTCCCCAATTTTGACTTAACTGATTAAATACATCTTAATTCAACTCACCTTTTGGATGTAAACGACCTGGCTCAAACCATGCTTCTGAAATCAATAAGAAATAAAACATAAATCAGACATGCTAAGCGAAAACTTGAAATATTCACGTTTAAATGTTAAGGTTTTTCATAGTTATACAATTTCCGTGCTTTCAAGCTGGTTCGTTTAAAAATATATTTCCGCCAGCGATTAAATGACAACAAACCATTTGTAATCTGATATGAAATCTAAAAATAGTTTTCGCGGTGTTTTCGTTATATGACATTTTGCTATTTTATTGATTTTTGTGTCCAGTTGAATAATTCTGATTTTAAATAGGTAGCTAGGATCTCTTGATTTAACGCTGTTTATGTTTCGTTTTAACTATGATGGTAGTTAAGAAACTGAATTTAGATGAATTCTTCCTTCTTAAGGTTTTATTTCGGAAGTTTCTATAGCTGATGCTTGATACAAAACATCGCATGTTGAATAAAGGGATTTATAAATTTTATATGAAATAAAAGAAAAATCAATAGTAGATTGTACAACGAAACAACACGTAATAACGCTGCTGATTTTAAGTCAACATGCAGTTCATAACTTATAATTATTAAAAACATTTTTCCTCAAGATTATTTCCAGAGACATTCGATGGTGTTTAATTGTAAAAGAATAAATCTGATTTGTTGTTATATGTACATCCTTTTAAAGAAGATGAAAATAATATGAATTTGTTTACATTTATTCTTGTGCAAAAGTATATTCAGCTAAATTCTTTTATAAAATTGAGACTTTACTGTCGTTTTCGAATTCAAAAGAAAACTACTCACCTGAAGACATTTTTTATAATTATCTTTGGAAACTGTTACCACTAGTTTCTTTATATTAGTAAAAATATAAATAAAATTCGATCTTTTGTTTAGATTTAAAAACGTACTCTCCACCCGAAACTCGTCTCTCCTAAGCTAGTTTCAGGTGGAGTGTGTACGCACGGACGATTTAGCTGCAACTTATTTTTTTAACCGATGAATAATTTAAAATGTTCGCGCTCAATCAGTTTAATCCTTTTCTGTTTAATCCCACGAATTCATAATTTCCCCTCAAATTTGAAATTACCTAAATTGAAACGATTAACGTGCCAACATCTTTGAAATTAAATTTAAAGCTCTAACTATTGTCTCGTAATGGGGACTAACGAAGAATGTAACAATCAATCTCCAAAAGCAAATCATTTAAAAGTAAGCAAATAATCGCATAATGTAATGTCGACAAAATTAAAGTTTTCGTCCTTTAGATCCTGAAAAACGCTTTCGGATACAATTTCTTCGAGAGAAAACAATGGGATGCCATACGTTCAATAATATTTGAGAAAAAAGATATATTTATAAACGCTGGAGTAAGTTTCGGAAAGTGTCTCGTTTACCAGTTCCCTCCAGTGTTTCTCAAAAAAACCGCAATCGTCATTTTACCTACGATCGCTTTAATTAAACATCGAATTTCATCAATTGATCAAAAGCAAATTAATACTGTCTTATTTGATCCGACTCAACGTTTGGGTTCACATGCAGATTTCAAAGAAAAATTATCAAAATGTCGATTAATTTACATGAAAGCTGAACATTTTAATTTCTTCTATAGAAAATACCTTGACATAGTCAGGAAGAATGTCTGTATCGTTGCAATTGAAGATTGCCATGTCATGGAAAAAGACGAAACAATAAGCTTAGGATCACTAGAGAGAGTAAAAGATATATTCCCTAATGTGCCTGTAATTTACGTCACAAAAGCAGTAACCAAAGAAACCCAAACAACTATCATCAAGTCATTAAAACTTGTTTGTCCTTTAGTTGTGAAGACAAACATTAATCGACCCAATTTGGAATTTTCAGTGCGATCTATTAATAACAGTATTTTCGAATATGACATAAAGGAATACTTGAATAGTGTAACCAATGGATGCATCATCATTTTCATCTCAACTGACTGGTGCGAACAAAAATTTTACAGCAGTGCTGGTTTCAGACCAGACATTTATTTGGATACACTCGACAAATCTTCAAAACAGAGAATATTGAATGATTTCACAACAGGGAAATGTAAGGTTCTTGTTACAAGAGTAAGTCCATTGAATCTGGAATTCTATCGAAGTGACTTACGCTTGTTAATTCATTATGAATATTCAAATATAGACCTCGAAAATTATTATCGTGAGTGCTTGTTGGCTGGTCTTGATGGAAATCCCTCAAAGTGTATTATTTTCAAGAAATTCGAATGTCTACGTCTGGAACAAATAACTCCCAAAGACACTTTGAGAACTTATTTAAATATTAAAGATTGTCGCCGAAAATTAACTCTAAGACATTTTGGTTCAATTGAGAGATTTCCTACTTTGGAATCATGTTGTGATAATTGCCAAACCATTCTAAATGATAAGATTCCGCCCTTCAAAATTTACAAAGATATTGATGAGAAAGGATTTCTTAACATATCGGTGGATGCTCGAATTCTTATGAAACTTATAAATGCATATAAAGGCAAAGGGATCAAATATCCAATCGTCGATTTCTTAGTTGGAGATGTTCCAAAAAAGCATTCTAAATATCATCCTTTGTCATTGTTCGCTTCAGGCAAGAATAAGAGTGAAAATTGGTGGCTCAATCTCATTGAACAATTACTTTTGAATGACATGATCTTTGAAGAAAAAATCTTACAAAACATTCAAATTGTGGAAAACGCACAGAATCAGGAAGAAAATGAGTTGAATGTGTCAACTGATGAAGATGCTTGGGAAGATTTAGAAGATTTTGAAGGTGGTTATGGGATAGAAGTGAATTGGCAATGCTTTTTAAGACTTTCGAAAAAAGGCAAGCGATTCTTAGAATTTAAAACATGCAAGCTTAATATGAAACCAAATCAGAAGATGCTTTCTTATCTGCCAAAAACTGATCAAGAATATTTCATCGAGCAAGGATCAATCAAAAGTAAAAAAAGGGAAGTTTCAGAATAATTTAATGTTTCATAAAATTTTCAAACAGATTTTTTTTATATTGTTGTAGTGAAAAGTAGGAATGGAGAAGTTACTTAGAATAGAAGAATAAATGAAGTTTTTATAAACTTGAAAATGTTTCATTTCAAAACCTTTAGGTGAAAAAAAATTATTTTTGAAGACAACAAAAATCTAATTATTGTGCAATGAATTTCTAGTTATATAACATTCTTTATAAACTACTAAACCGCTCCCATGTTTTTAAGCTTTTGTTTCTTATTATATGTTATAGGTAACCATTGCGATCATTGACATTCAGTTCAGTTTACCACAAGGTTTGAAAACAATAAAAATACTCGAAAACAGTGATCAATATCTGCACGTACGCATGTCGATGTATTAAATTGAATTATCGATTCCGTATGATCGTCAATGTAGATTTTTTCAAAGTTATGTGAAGTTCAACCAATAAACATGACAAAAAATCAATTATCAAAAGCAAATGCAATTGAAACGTGATGTGAATCAACTCAGTGCTTTCATTATTCGCTATACAATTTTTTGTTTTTTTTTTTGCAATTAACGAACTTTGTGTTAACAAATTGTAGCTTCCCTGACATTGACTGTTGAAATTCACACTTCATGAGCAATGTTTAGCTTTTATTTTAATAAAATAAAATAATGCATTGCATCTTGTTGTAAAAGTGCTTCTTAAAAGCATCTAAGGACAATAACACAATGTAATTAACGTTTAGAGATTTGTCATTTCAACCGATCACAGTTTGTCTCTCTTTTTAACACATTATGTACTTGGATTTTAAAGAAAAATGTTTAAGATAAAAAAGGTTTGAAATGCTTGTGATTTTCTGTTACTGTGACATTTTCATTCATTTATCTTATTTGAAGACGACGACCTCACCATCTCAGCAACATGACGAAGTGGAAATTTTTATCAAGGATTAAAAGTGAAATACTTCTTGGTTCATTGGTTTATTTATGGTCAAGAACTTGTAAATTGTGAGATTAATACTTAGCTTAGTGCATTCTCATTCACACCACCTTACTACGATAAAATCGTTAACTCACTGCAATTATTAAACAATTTGTGAATAAGCGCATAGCTTAATTGAAAAGCTAATAAAATTGCACAATTGTAGGAAAAATACTGGAGACGGTAAAACCAGCTTTGGTTTTATGTTTGAATATTCTTGAATAAGTTTTGAGTGGTTCTGTTTTCCTGGAAATTGAAACCAGAAGATGTAAATTAAACCACTAGAATTTTTCCACTGCCTACATACTCACTTGAACAGTTATTCAAATATCTACGAATTGTCAAGCATTTATTGCTCAATTATTTATTTCATACTTCGATAACGTTAATCACCATTCTCACATGTTCATGTATGTGCTTCGTATTTCAGAGACAGAGAGCGATACGAGAAGAGGAACACCAAACTTGGTTTATTATACGTTTACAAGGTTAACCGTTGAGAAAATTGTTGTTGAAATATCGAAAAAAATCAACATTTTTGAAACAAGCCGCTTACAGGCGAGAGTTGAGTTGAACGTATGTTTGTGGTTTTAAAGCTAATCGAAAGAAAATTCAAAAATAGTTTCATCTTAGACGTGATACGAGAAGCACTGAGGTCTCTTGAAAGAAAAACCAAAGAAGTTATATCGAATCATCATAACGTCACATAAAGATGCTGTTAACTTGATGCTTCTTTTTTTTATATTTCGTTATTTGACGATTAACCCCCAATCATGAATATTTCAGCATTTTAGTTTGTTTGATAACTTCATAAACGCACTTTAGTAGATAGGCAACATGATAATAATTTGCAGATTCGCGCGTTTCACTTGTATTTCCCGAAAAAAAATAACATACTCACAACCAACTCCAAACGATTACAAAAATAAAGATGGCCGTTCACTTCGAAACTTTTTCCAAGTTTTTTCATTCGTTTTGGTGTTTTATTGGGTTCCTTTATTCGCTGACACCAATGTAAAGTCGCTAGAACACCTCCAGGATCCATGACGATGAATACAACGATGTTTGTATATTTTTATTATGTTTGTTCTTTTCCGCGTCTTTCCTCGACCGCGGCTCGCTCTAGACTGAACTAGATACTCTCTCGAGAGAGCGAGAGAATCTCAACCGGTACACGTTGTAATTGATGTGGAGTTACTGATGTTATTTCGACTACGAGATTATTTCCTTCACTATTGTTTTTACTGTCAGCAATGGTTAAGATGACAGCAATTAGAACAAATTTTAATATTGAGTGAAGCTTCAGTTTTTGCATTCGCTTCGCTTTTCTTGGTAGGAAATGGAAGAATTTTTTTCTCAGGTGGAAAATCTTGAATCCGATGGAAAATTTTCCTCTTTTCGTGTTAGTGAAATGTGTAGCGTGATTTGATATTTAATTATACAACTGAACAGTAACAGATTCAGACGATTTTGCACGATCAATTTGAGTTACTTTTTCTTTTATGTTCTTTTTATTATTTTCTTCTATATCGAAAAGATCACTTTCAATGTCGTATCCAAATTGATCATNGACAAACATTAATCGACCCAATTTGGATTTTCCAGTGCGATCTATTAATAACAGTATTTTCGAATATGACATAAAGGAATACTTGAGAAGTGTAACCGATGGATGCATCATCATTTTCATCTCAACTGACTGGTGCGAACAAAAGATATTTATTTGGATACACTCGATAAATCTTCTAAACAAAGAATATTGAATGATTTCACAACAGGAAAATGTAAGGTACTTGTTACAAGAGTAAGTCCATTGAATCTGGAATTCTATCGAAGTGACTTACGCTTGTTAATTCATTATGAATATTCAAATATAGACCTCGAAAATTATTATCGTGAGTGCTTGTTGGCTGGTCTTGATGGAAATCCCTCAAAGTGTATTATTTTCAAGAAATTCGAATGTCTACGTCTGGAACAAATAACTCCCAAAGACACTTTGAGAACTTATTTAAATATTAAAGATTGTCGCCGAAAATTAACTCTAAGACATTTTGGTTCAATTGAGAGATTTCCTACTTTGGAATCATGTTGTGATAATTGCCAAACCATTCTAAATGATAAGATTCCGCCCTTCAAAATTTACAAAGATATTGATGAGAAAGGATTTCTTAACATATCGGTGGATGCTCGAATTCTTATGAAACTTATAAATGCATATAAAGGCAAAGGATTCAAATATCCAATCGATTTCTTAGTTGGAGATGTTCCAAAAAAAAAAAAGACATTCTAAATATCTGGTGGCTCAATCTCATTGATCAATTACTTTTGAATGACATGATCTTTGAAGAAAAAAAAAATCTTACAAAACATTCAAATTGTGGAAAACGCACAGGATCAGGAAGAAAATAAGTTGAATGTGTCAACTGATGAAGATGCTTGGGAAGATTTCGAAGATTTTGAAGGTGGCTATGGGATAGAAATGAATTGGCAATGTTTTTAAAGACTTTCAAAAAAGGCAAGCGATTCTTAGAATTTAAAACATGGAAGCTTAATATGAAACCAGATCAGAAGATGCTTTCTTATCTGCCAAAAACTGATCAAGAATATTTCATCGAGCATATTAATATTAATTGAATTATCGATTCCGTATGATCGTCAATGTAGATTTTTTCAAAGTTATGTGAAGTTCAACCAATAAACATGACAAAAAAAATAATTATCACAAGCAAATGCAATTGAAACGTGATGTGAATCAATTTAGTGCTTTCATTATTCGCTATACAATTTTTGTTTTTCTTTTTGCAATTAACGAACTTTGTTTTAACAAAATGTGGCTTCCTTGACATTGACTGTTGAAATTCACACTTCATGAGCAATGTTTAGCTTTTATTTTAAATAAAAAAATAATGCATTGCAGGTTTGAAATGCTTGTGATTTTTTGTTACTGTGACATTTTCATTCATTTATCTTATTTGAAGACGACGACCTCACCATCTCAACAACATGACGAAGTGGAAATTTTTATCGAGGATTAAAAATGAAATACTTCTTGGTTCATTGATTTATTTATGGTCAAGAACTTGTTAATTGTGAGCTTAATACTTAGCTTAGTGCATTCTCATTCACACCGCCTCACTACGATAAAATCGTTAACTCACTGCAATTATTAAACAATTTGTGAATAAGCGCATAGCTTAATTGAAAAGCTAATAAAATTGCACAATTGTAGGAAAAATACTGGAGACGGTAAGTAAAACCAGCTTTGGTTTTATGTTTGAACATTCTTGAATAAGTTTTGAATGGTTCTGTTTTCTTGAACGGTTATTCAAATATCTACGAATTGTCAAGCATTTATTGCTCAATTATTTATTTCATACTTCGATATCGTTAATCACCATTCTCACATGTTCATGCATGTGCTTCTTATTTCAGAGACAGAGAGCGATACGAGAAGAGAAGCACCAAACTTGGTTTATTATACGTTTACAAGGTTAACCGTTGAGAAAATTGTTGTTGAAATATCGAAAAAAATCAACATTTTTGAAACAAGCCGCTTACAGGCGAGAGTTGAGTTGAACGTTTGTTTGTGGCTTTAAAGCTAATCGAAAGAAAATTCAAAAATAGTTTCATCTTAGACGTGATACGAGAAGCACTGAGGTCTCTTAAGTTGAAACGTAAAACGACAAAAATTTACTTAAAAGAAAAACCAAAGAAGTTTCTTTTTCAAAATTCAAATATTTTAATAGAAAAAATAAAAGAAATATTTTAGCCTTTTTTTTTGTGAGACAAGAAAAAGTTTAAGAAAGGAAAAATGTTTTTAAAAAGTTTAATGTTCAGCAGCTTTCTGTTACTTGTTGCATCACAGCAAATACGTAAGTTTTTTTAAAAGAAAAGTTTTTCTGAAAATGGAAAATTTAGTTTACCAGATCTCAGCTTTTTTGTTGTTTGAAAATTAATCGATCTCATAAACTTTATGCAGCTCTTCTTTCAAATAGAAATTAATTGCATTGAGCAAAATTTTGCTTCTCTCGTTCAATGATCTGTGACAAACAATTGCGCAACTACAAACGTGGAAATTAGCACTCCATGGAGAGAACAATTGACAGTCAATAAGAATAAATTGTCTGGAATAATTGAGTGCATGGTTGAAGAGAAATCGGTTTTACGTTGTTTTATTTTTTGATATCATCGAAGAATGCAATATTTAAGGTCAATTTTATGATCGATTAACTTTGCCAGATTAAAAGTAATGTCATCATAAATATTTATAGAAGATAAATGTAAGAAAAGGTCTGGAAAATTTTCATTTTAACATAGATGACAATTCGATAATAGTAAAATTTTACATTTTAAACGTATAAATTAAGTGAAACCTAATTAGATATGCATTAATATCTTAACTTTTCCATTTTTCGAGTTTCATAATTGATGAAATAACTTCAAAAACTTTTCAATTTTGTTTACTTTTGTTGTTGAAAAGTTGAAGATCACTCAATATTAATGTCATGTGAATTATCGAAACATTAAATAATTGAAATCGTGTGTGACCGTAATTAGACGTTTTACTATTGACGTTTTCTGTTTGTAAAAGCAAATTAATTTTAACTTTTCAACCGAAGTATCTACGACGATATTGCAAAAATTTAAACTGTTTCAGATAAAATTAGCAAATCTTAATTCTGAAATATAAAACTTGTTATCGTTTCATGGAACAATGATGAAATTTTCATTCATAAAACTGCTCTAAAGTGTGCAGAGACAAGCGATAGCGTGCTTTGAAAACTAGATGAACGAACTGTCAATAGTGTACGTTTTTCTTGCTGATATCCATGCAAACAGACAAAATCAATGTTTTGCAAACATCATTTCGTCGAGAGAGTTGAATGACATGATTTTCAGTCTTGTTCACTGCTTCATTGCATAGATCGGCAAATGAAACTGAAAACTGGCTTTCCATGAATTAAGATAAAAAGTTATTACTATTTCCTAATAACCACTTCTATCCCAACAAAAACAAACTTAGACGACAAACACACATAAAATAAATGGAAATTGAGAGTTTGCTTAACATTTAACAGTGCGTTGCATTTTGCATGTTCTTATGTCGTATGCGGCGACCTTTTTTCCTTCTCTCTCTCTTTAACTTCATTTCTTAATCTTGGTGAAATCATTTAGGCATACTCAACTGTCAGCAAATCATTGCTGCAGGCATCGTATCCACATTGGACATCGTTTAATATAATTTTGACTCACTCAACACACGCTAAAATTCACATAAGCAGCAGAGCAGAGAAAAAAAAAAATGCTGAAAGATAAATGCACTTCTACTCGCTGATGGCTCAATTTTTGATGAATTATGTTTGCACAACATCTGCTTTAAACGCATGTAAATTTATGCGAAAAAAGAAGTTTATTTTGACCATGATTCAATTTTTAATTTTAGGTTTTCTCTTAAGAATTTCAATAAGATGAAGTGGTATCTGCATATTGAATTGTAGCTTAAATGTCAAATCGTTAAATTTATGATCTGAAGTAGATTAAAATTTGAAACTAATAAAAATTGCATTATGCAAGTGCAGTTCTTTTGTTAGACATCAATAATCCTTGAAAATACCGACTAGATAATAAGACATTTAAAAAATTCTCATTTGATTGCAGTTCTCTCGCTTTACGTGTCAAGTTCAACAACAAGTGCTTATAAAAAAAGTTAAAACAATTTACATTCTTCTTTATTTTGTTAATTACAAAACGCTATCAATTTCTCATTCAAATTAGATATTGACAATCAAACATGAATTGATTGAAAGCAGATAATGCCGTCATCAACATGACTGAATCAAAAGATTAATTGAATTAAGAAAATATAAATTAAAGAAAATGACAACTTGAAAAAGGCCACTAAACCACGAATTTCTCTCAATCATGAACATTTTTTTTGCTGCATTAAGCACAAACTATCATCAGAAAATGGCTTTTTTCCTAGACTTCAAAGATACATTAAAATAATGCTACAACCAAAGAGTTTTTCATGCATTATGTGGTTATGATGCAAAATGAATTTCAGTTCAAAGTATTTTTCATAATTTGTTCCAAACGCTGCAAATATTCACCTCAAACAAACCCGTTAACCGAGTGTTATGTCGAATGCCATTGATAGTTATGAAATAAACTTATTATTTTATCTTTTTCAGCTCCCTACATAAAACAGTGCCGTTCATCCGACCCTAAACTCACTGAATGCGTGAAAGATGCTTTGCACCATTTAAAGCCGTGGTTGAAGACAGGCATACCGGAAATTCAGGTAAGGCATGAAGAATAAAGTTTAAAATCATTCGAAAATGCAACGCAGTAATGTTGACAATAAAACAACATTTACTCTTGTTAATTAATAAAGAAAGAAAGGAGAGTATGAAGTCATTATCGACGTTGACCGAGAGAAGGGCAAGGTTAACAACTTTTCACAGCTATTCCGAACCGTACTTTGGTCATCACGCCATTAAACATTATTTATCACAACTTTTCATTAACGTCTCCATTTCCTGTATTTGCGTTTTCAATCGACATTCATGCTTTTATCAACGCAACCGAAATCTTTATGAGAGAATTTATTTTGCATTCAACGAAAATTGAGCCATTTCAAATATTGATTTTTCAATCGCATTTCTATGGAGTCTGCACAGTTTTTGTTGACCGAAAATCCATAGGAATCAATGTCTGTGATTCACCTCAAAACTGAATTTAAATGTGACACGATGTGTCCGTCGTCAATGGCAATCAGTTTGTTTTCAATTTTGTTTATATTAAAAGAGAACTTTATAATGGAAAATGTTTTAGTTTTGTATAAATACAAATAAGATTTCATAGATTTGGTTTAAAAAGAGATTTGTCTTTGAATTTTCAGGATTTTAGTTTACATAGAATCATTTTTCAATTATCAAAGATAACAAGCTTGATATGACAAGTTGATCATAAATTAATATTTTGAATATCATAAATTATGTTCAATCTTCGATTGATACAAAGTATCAACAACGTCATGCTCAAAGCAATATCTGACCTACTTCACTTCAAAATTAAATTGAAGGATATTCAGCAACGACATTATTGATAGCAAAACGATTTATTGTTTAAATATGATTAAACATTTTAATAATTGATACTAATTGAAAACATATTCATTAAAAAATGAAGCTTTAACTTCAAATATTTGTGTCTAGCTTCGTTTAGCTGCGAGCTTCAAACATTTCGTAATCCGAAACCGTGAAAGTTGTTTCAACAAATTTTTTATTGTCTTCTCTTAATGGATGTGGTTCAAGGATTATCAGTTTTTAACAATATTTGGTGGTTTAAATCATTTTAATAAATCATCATATTATGCTGTTTAAACAAAATTAAATCAGTTTGTGATGTTTCACATCTTCAAAGTCAAGGTCATTTATATTTATTTAACATGTTTTAGATGCCATCAACCGAGCCATTCGTCATGGATTCTCTTTCACTCGCGCTTACAGGTGGCCCTAATGGATATAGAATTAATTTAAAAGACATGGAGACATTCGGAGCTTCCAATTTTACAGTCAAATCTATCAAGTGAGTGATGTTAATCGAGCTTATTAAATATTTTTTTAATTTTATACGTTAATTGAATAGACTCAGTGAAGGAACGCAACCTTTTGAAGCTGTAATCACAATCCCGAAACTTGTAATCAAAGCAAAGTATACCAGCAGCGGTGTTTTAATTATTATTCCAGCATCCGGTGGAGGCGATTTTAATGCTGTTTTTGGTAAAAATAATTTCACTCATGACATCATCGTTTTAATTAAATGGTCAAGCAAATTAATTTACTGAAATTTTTATCCCACCGCAGAGGGTGTCACGGCAAATGTGAAGGGTAAAATGTCGACGCGTGAGAAGCCCAATGGAACATTCCTTCACGTAGATGCCCTTTTATTGGATTTAAACATAAAAAAACCGAGATTGTCTGTCGCAAAAATATTCAACAACAACAGAATTTTAAGTGAGAATGAATGACGTTACTGGTTTCTAAAATTCCTTTTTCTAACTCGTCCCTCTTTAAACTTTTGTTGTTGAAATTTACAGCTGAAGCCACAAATCTATTCCTGAAAGAGAATGGACATGAAATACTCAAAGCCATGCAGCCACAATTGCAGAAAAAACTGAGTGCTGAATTTACGGGAATTTCTAACACACTGCTCGACCATGTTCCCCGAAACAATTTCTTGTTAGATTAATTTTCTTTTTCCTGTTATAAGTTTCATTCAATGAAAGCTTTTGTACAATTTTTTTTTTTCAAATAAGAGGTTTGCGGCGTAGATTACTCTGTTAAGCTTACGTGATAAATTTTATACTTTTTATAGTTTATGACATTCAACTCAGTGATTTTCAAACTCTTTTAAATCAAAACTCTGAAACATGTTGAGGTCTTAATTGTTAAGTTTTAAAGCCGCAAATGTTGAAGTTTGAGAACCATTGGTTTAGAGCTTTTATTTCATTTTATTTTATTTTTTCGCTATCTTTAACGAATTCAAGTTTTCATAATTTTTTCATCATGTAGCTAGTAAGATGATTTGATTTGTAAAAATACTTCTTCCATTTGACGCGCTTCAATTGCTACGTAAATAAAATTATCCTCTTAAAGTACAACAAAGGATTTTTTTATTTATCTATCCAGGAACTTCATCGATTAGGATGATTCAATTGCTGATAAAGGGAAATTGAATTTAGGTAGAAGCAGATTGTATCGTTTTAAGCTATTCAAAGAGTATGCTTTTAAGATTCCAATTCAGTCGTAATCTATTCTAGGTGCTCACTATATACAGCTGAAGGATATTTCTCAGTAATCTTTTTCTTTTTTATATCATTCGATCTCCCATGAGAAGCATAAATAAAAGAAAATCACTTTCAAGAAGCTTGGGAGAAAGTAAAGTGACGAAAAAGAGTATTTGCTGAATAGCTTGAACAACTTTCGTCTGAAGCCCACAAGGAATGCGCTACGGAGTTTACCGAAACGATTACGATCCAATCATTGCCAATTAATTGCCATTAAACGAGCTGTGAGTAAATATTGACAAAAGCGCAAATTATGTGTGAATGTTATTATAACCCTTAATTAAATTGAAGAAAATCGTTTCGTTGAACTTGATATTCGATAAAAGTAATATTATTATGTCTGAAAAGGCATAGTCACGACCTAATAATTATCACAGACATATCCAATAATGTGGAAAATTTCTATTGATAGCGAAATTTTCTTCCGTCAGTTTAAATATTCATGAATTCACATCTGAATACTCAAATAGAAACTTAAAGTTAAACCATAAACTTTCAACTTAAAATAATATTTAAATGTAGGTTAACTTAACACTGAATAAGTATCTTCACACAAACATTTCTATTAAAGAAAATTATGAATAAATTTCAAAATGTATTGAAAAGTTTATTCACATCATGAATAAATTTGTTGAATTACTAAATCAGGAATTATAAATTCAGATCTAGGTGAACTTCAAATGCTAGATATTTAAAGCAAAGCGAATTGAAACCGATCTGTATACATATAAATTTTAATATGAACATGTAACAACATACTGAGGTTTGTTAAAATTCAAAGCAAACCGCGGCATTCACTTTTCTCCCCATCCTAAATGTTTCACTGTCGTACATGATTTATCGCATAAAATCCCGCCCTGATATGAGTCTGATGTGATTAAATTACATGAAAACCGAAGCATCAATTTCCCAGACACATGAAACATAACACAAAAAGACAACAGCGATATTTACTAACGCAACCGCGTTTCTCAGTTCTCGGGCACGGTGAAGATAGCACAATCTCATGAGATTTCATGCTATATTGAGCCTAAAATGTTATATTATGATGCGATTTTCTAATGCTCTCTGTCACAAATGTCGCTTCTGTTCTTTACCCATAACAGAAATGTTTTTCGCTTTTCCTTTATCCAAGGAAACTTGTATACAACTCTTTGTGTTGATGATCAATCCAAATCTAAAGGAAATGCGCTTATTTTCTTTTTTTAAAGCTGAAACAAGTAAAATGTTCTCAGTGGAATTTCAAGAAAGGTGAAAGATTGAAATTGATGGATATTCTTTGGTTTCAGTTCAAAACATTTCACGCAAAGAAAGTTTAGACATGTTATTTTTTTTTTCAAACCGTCATTCAATACATCCTCCCACGCCCTGAAAGAAGTCGGTAAACTTGATGGTTTACTCTGACTATGCACAAATTTTATTGGATGGATTTAAATGTAAATTATCTTATAAGGAAAATATTATCTCTATCTACGAAAGACTTCATTTTGAAACATTGACAACGTTTTCATCTTGACTTTTAATCATTTTCGGATTAAAATTTTTTACTGTTTAATTTCATCTCAGAATTTCCTGCAACTCAGTTTTTCTTCCTTTATAAAAATATCAAATTTCATTTCAGTTTTAGTCTTTTATGCACACAAATTCATCTTTTATATTTTATAAAATATCTACTTGAATGTTTTTTATCATCCAGTTAGAAGTTCATTTAAAAATCTACTTGAATGACATCGTCTTAAAATTGAATTCTCGCATGACAGAAACGAGCAGAACAAAGTTCGAACATATAAAATTCTGTCATAAGATGATGCACCGAAAAGTTATGTTCCTTCCGAAGAAGGAAGAATAAAATTGAAACATGCCAGACACCAACATATTTTCGTGAAATTCAAAAGACTATAAATATTTGACTCATGAATTTTTACCAGATTCCATCACTATTTTGCCTTTATCAACAACATTATGCTTTAACAAGAATTAACCACATATTAATTATAAAATAGCATAGAAGCATTAAAAGTATTTTTTAATAAAGTAAAATTCAGACAATATTCAACTTTAGCTTTAAGAAATGTTCACTCACTTTATTAAAAGCTCTTCGAATTTTTCCTTGCAGCTTCATGCTCTGCAACTTTTCTAGGCGATTTTTCACTCAAGTACAACAAAAATAAACCAGAAGATTCAATCCGTCACATTAATTTTTTTTCCTTGCAGATGTTGTTGAGCTTTTATTCAATTTCTCATATTTAATCGGGAGTGAAGTTTTAGGTCTGTAAGAGTTGAGGAAATCTCATAAGAAAATTCAATAATTTTTGCGATTGTCACTTTTGATAAAATGTTTCGGTTTAGCAGATATTTTTAGCTTGTTATAAGGTCAATTATTCCATATTGATTTTTGTTGCAACTTTTAGTTTCATTACATGATAATCTACCATATTGCAAGCAGTACTTATAAAAATATATGGCAAAGTGAAAGACTTAGTTTCAGGTAGTCTCTCGTATGTGAAATTGTTTGTGTTGAATAACTCAAGGATTTAATAATGCAGACAATTTGCTTGATATTGGATTAAAATTTATCTACCAAATGTGCAAATTCTCCATAACATTAAAAATGAATAAATCTTGAGTGTGAATATCTTTAATAAATTCATTTCCTTTCCTCCCATTTCAGCTTTCTTACAGCAATCAGAAAATTATTGTTTTTATTTTAATTTAAATGTTAATTTCCCCATCACTTGAAAAATCTCAAAAGATAACAAGAAATGCCAAAAACCAAGAAAGTTCTTTTATCCAAAATGAAAATATTGTTGGAAATGACAATTTAAATAAATTGCAAACCTCACAAAGTTGCATGTCATGAGTCATGACCAATTTCCCTACAAAGTGAATTTTCCATGGTTAAATTTATTCACAAGCTTTTGTAAAAATAACAACTTTTACTTTTATCGCAAAACTGTTTTTGCACGATTCGTACCTGAATAAAATAATTCAGTAATATCTACTTGAAACCAGCACAGATTTAAACATTTATTTGCTTATTTCCACACAAAACAGAATAAATTGCACACACGATAAGAGATCGATGGTAGTGCAGAAACGAATTTATAGCTTTGGGTCATTTGCTGGATAAGGTTTAATGGTGTTAAAGATAACAACTATAAATCCATTTGGTACACGAGGAACTGAAATTAACCCACTCAATTTTCTGAACATGAACATGACATAAAATGAAATGAACGAGTAAATGACAACTGCGCTGTAAATCATTCCAACCTTTACTTTGATCAAAAGCTATTGAAAAATTTCTTTAAAGTTCTAAAGTATTTACGATGGAGAAACTAATAAGAAACGTGTAGGATGAAACCTAATTAGTGCTCTTGAAGCAGTTCAACTTGTGATAAAGTTCAAAAGATGAAATTTTATTGTTTATTATTTATTTCAAAGGAATTTTTAACTTTTATTAAGCTTAATGATATTTAAGGCAGGTGGAGGGATTAGAAATAATAACTTTTATTTTGTAACTTATCATTTCTGTCAAATATTCAAAGTTAAAATTTAATACAAGCTTTGATTCGAAGCTAATTAAAGTAGAAAAGACAGATTATAAGAATAATTTTGTTCGATATTTGATCACAAACTCTATTTCGATAAAATTCCTTCTAAATTATAAATATTCATCGTAGATACCCTGAATAAATCATAGCATTTCCTTCCAATTAAGAAGAATGAAGACGATTGTTCTGAATGAACAACATAACACAAAACAATTAAAACTTGATGATAAAGGGTATTTTAATTTTTTAATTTCTTTGTGTTGTCTTGATACGAAAATAAAATAAGAGAAGCAAAGGCAAGGGCATGAGCAGGTCGGATAGATAAAATGATGTAATAGGTTGACTGGAATTTCAATCAGATCATTAATTTTGTTTCTAACAAGCAACAATAGAAGACTTATGATATAGTTTAAAAGTTTATTGAACTTCCTAAATAAAAGTCTACAGTCATCTAAGATCCATTATAAAATCGATAATTGCTGATGATTGTGTGGTGAAGAGAGAACTAAAGTTAAACATGTTCATTGGAAAATAATACAAGAAATTATCATCATAATGAAAGCTAAAGAGTGGAAGAAAGTTTCGTCCATCAAGTCATTTTAGTTCATATATGATGCCTTAATCTATAAAAACAGTTTTGCTTGAGATTTCTTTTTTTTTCCTTATGACTACTTGCAATCTCAACCCATCACGTACCAAAGAGTCACGTTTTGCTTTTGTTTAGATGATCAATTTGCTATTTAGAGAATGAATCACGTTTCATTTTGTTGATTTGGATAAATAGTTCTACGGTAGCTAGATTCATTTAAGTTCGTTCTCTTAACTTCTCACAAGTTTCTCGTGTAGCAAACAGGAAAAGTTTCTTTCTCGAGAACTCGAGAATGTTAGATACAACTTTTAATAACTGCTTTTAAACATATATCTGGTTACGGAAAATTTTAATTTTATTAAGAGTGAAGGCGAGTAAGAAATTTGTGAAACTGAACTCAAAATGTTTCCACATGAGTTAAATTGATTAAAGCTCGGTCTAAGTTATGTTGTTTTCAAGAAGATAGTTGATGCGTTCAGTGTGCTTCCGAGGCTTCACATAATATCGTCGAATTGTATTTTCAATTTCATGTCGGCTGTACATCGGTGGCCATAAACTTGTTATAGCAAAGAATCTAAACATAGAAAAGTAATTTAAAATTTTCCTCTTTACATGTAATGAAAGGAGGTAAACAGTGGAGGCGAACATCATACACAAGATAATTTTATTTCCAAGGTTCTGTGTAATATCTTTGTAGGAACATTTTAATATAATTCAAGAAAGAATATTTCAATTTTTGACATTAATATTCTTCCACGCAAACTTCAAATATGTCTTACCTTTGAAAACGTATTTGATGATATGCAGACGGTTGCATCGTTGCAAGGCTTTTCATCTGCAACTTAAACGTTTCATTCTGAAATTTTTTCATGTTCGCAATTCGGTTTTTGCAGACCATGGGACTGTGCATGTGAGAGAGATGGCAGATATGAAAGAAGAGGATGGAAATGTCATGTGAAGCTGGCGTCTCACTGTGTAAATCAATTAAATGACAACATACTACGTAGTAGATAAATCGTGGTGGTGAACATTTACAATTGTTGATGTAAGTGCAAGCTTTGCTTCTCTCTGTGACATTTTGAATGAAGCGAGTAAATTTTTGCTTGTCTGAAATGATGAATGTGACTCCATTTGAAATTTGCTCCCACTTTAAATGATGAAAATGTAAATGTTTGAATTTTTGAAGCATTGATTGCTTAGTTACTCGAAATAAAGCAGAAAGATTTTAAAACCCTTCAGATGGATATTCATGGACAAAAGGTGCGGGTCACCAACAATTCAAACTTTACACTGCAAACTTTTTCCCATTTTTTCACATTCGAATTTCATGAAGTTTATGGTTTAATAAAGATTGATTTATTTATTTATCCAGCAGATTAATGCCAGTGATAACCCAAAAAAAAGCAAAAGAAATTTGTGAATTGTCAGAAGTTTTTCGGACAAAAACGATTGAAAGCTTTTTTAATTTTTTTCTCTCTCTCCCTCTTGTTTTGGGAGTTTTGGCTAAAAATATTATGCGCAACCCTTTGTCACTGCCTAAAAAGGGATCATCATCATGACAGAAAAGCTCACCCATCTCAACCAATGATTAATTCATATTATCATTCAGCTTCAGATTTTTTTCTTCTTTCCTTTTGTACGCTCGTTAAAATGTTGTCCTTGTTGAGGTGAGTGGAAGAAAGTGTCATGAAAAGCTTTGAAATAAAATCTCAAAAGTTCTTTCTTACTCTTCCTCAATTAACACTGCTTTCGTAATGAACTAATTAACATTTTTTGTTGCGCTTCACTAACAGTTTAATTATTCAGACAATGAGCACTTGAACAAGTCGATTTTAGTGTTAATTTCATTGACGCCAGTTCTGTTACATTTACTCCGAAAGTGAAATGAGAATAACTTCAGTAACAACTCGTAAATAACACAATTGATATCAGAGTCAGTATTTCAAAGCCGCTTCCAGTTTTGAAGTAGAAATTACAATTTATCACTTTTCAGTTAGTGAAAAATCTTTATTTGATATTCTTTTCCGTGAGCTCGATTAATTTAATTGTTAATTGCTTTTAATTTAGCGGAAAATTAAACAACGAACTTGTTTCACGCTTGCCTTTTTTTATTATTGTGATATTAACTGAGTTGATAATTAGCATACTGATGAATGTTCTTTTTCTTTTGCATTTTGTTTTAAATGGAGATAACCAAGAGCTTGACACAAAATTTGAAAATGCTGGGAAATCGTCGAGAGAGATTCAAACGAGATAATGAAAATAAAAATTTTAGGGCAATTGACCGCATTGTTATGTCTCACACTTATAACAGAAGCATTTTGTGAAAGCAATTAAAATACTGAAATAAACCATAATCCCTGGCTTGTGGAACAAACATGGTTGAAAAACTTTAAGTAAACTTTTTCTCCCGGTTGTCGAATGAAAATGCACGGTTGGAATGTTAATTTCCAAATAGACTCATTTTGAAAACTTTTTGTTCCAATTTCGATTTGATTGTTTTCATGAAATGTTTTCACATTTTAAGCTTTGCTTTTTAACGTCACAGAATAGCTTCCTTAATGCTTTTAAACTTTCTTCCTCTAAGTGGAACTTAATTAAAATGGAAACTTAAGATATTTTCAAATAAATATTAAATTTTCATCAAAGATTACGAGCAGATATTATCGATTTTGACCTCAATAGTTTCCAGATACAACACAAAACGATCTGAATCCTCAGAAAATTTGAAGCACTTTGAAAATTTTATGCTCTTTTTTAATTGCTTCTGTTATTCTCAACACCCGTTTCAAAGTCCACAAAACCAAACTCTAATAATGGAAATAATTTTTTATTACTTAACATGGATTTCAAAACGAAATATTTTTCATAAGTTTTAACTAATTAAAATAATGTCATATGGATTTTGGAAGACAATCAATTACAAAACAATAAAAAGGGAGTGAAATCAACTTAATTAAAAAGTGGTAGAAATGAAATTGTTCATGCTGCATGATGTTTTCTCCTCTCTTTTTCAATTATTCAAAACTTTTTTCCTCAGGGATGAGCTTTCCAGTGTCTAACATTAGAAAATGACTTTTAGTTGAATCAAACATATAAATATCTGCAGATATACGTAAATTAAATTAAAAAATTACGTTTAGTTCAGCAACACTACCTACAGAACTTTTCATTCATCTTTTGCTGTACAAGCAGTTTTGAAAAAATGACTTCAGGAAAACATTTTTTGTTGAAGTGAAGCAGCAATACTTCATTTATTTCTTTTTATTAAAAACTGTGGCAGCTAAGCTCATAATGAATGCCACGTAATGACAGATGAGAAAAAAATAATTAGGTAAGAAAAGTATAATTCATGATGAAGAGGAAAAGCATGAAAAACCTTTGCGCATATTAATGAAAATCTTTTAGTGTTCACGAGAGTATGAAATAACGAATTTGTTATTTTTTTTTCTACCTATCACCACCCACACAGTGTCTTCCCACGAGACTTGTCTGTGTACAGCACAGAGTTTGTTTTTCTTGATACAAATTTAATTTACACTGTTCCAGTCTCAAAAATTTTAATGAATATTAATTAAAATGCCGCGCATTATTCTCAGCCTTCGAGTTTTCATTTTAATGAAAGTTAACATCTTACAAAACTTGACTGCTTTACTAAATAAAATGCTTACTCGAGCAATTTATAATCTTTAGATTTATAAATGATGACAACGAGATAAAGTGGAAAAATGCATGAAACAAATTGAATCTCAAACCAGAAACTCTTTAAATTGATTCGTTTGTTTTCCTTCTTTCTATCACGGAGAAGTTGTAAATTATGTCACAATATTAAATAAGAGACTTTCTTGTAAAGAAAGGATTTTCTAAGAAGAGTAAGCACCTTGAATATCTGAAGGAAAAAAAGTCTATTAGACACTTCAAATGCTTTTTGACGTAATTGCTGTACAACATTAACCTTTCATAAACATTTTAATGCAACAGTAGCTTGAACAGTAGTAAAACGAAAGCTTGGAAAGGAAAATTTACTTTCGTAAAGCACATCGTCACATAAAAGAATTATATTTTATTGCACGAAACCGTACAGAAACGAAATAAATTGCTATCGTTGTAAAGCTTTTCTTATTAATGCTTTCCACACCAAAAACAAGCTCAGCGATTCCCACCGATAATAAATGAAGCAAAGGAGCAATAAAAGATAAAAATGAAATGAATCTCGGGCATGGAATGGATGATAATGATGAAATGAAAATGTAAAAATTAATTTAAGAAGTGCTTTGAATGAGATTTGATTGCACCATCGAGTAAGCGGTGCGATATAAGTCAATATCAGGTTTATGCATTAGATATCATGTCTACACCGCTCTTCAGAATTTATTTCCACTTTAATCACATTCTTTCACCTTCCTTTTGTCTACATCGACAATTTCCTGTTTGATGCATGTCGAGATGAAATTATAAAAACTTTAAACATTAAATTGTTACGCCACAGTATCACGACTGACTGTGGTGACGTTTAACATCAGTGAAAATTTATAAATATCTGCTGTTATCGTTGCAAACCTACGTTTTAATTAAAAAAATCCCTCAAAGGAATTGTAAAGCAACAATGAATAGCTGAATAAGAAAATATAACGCCAGAAAGAAAGTTGAATGTTGAAGTGCTTCCACATATTTATAACATTATTGAAAGATACGCGAGTAAGACATGAAAATAAGCGATTAAAGGAAAATTGTGAAAACAAGCATGTAAAATGTTATTTGTTTTCGTTTATGTTTGAAGTGTTCTTGTTCAAAAACGAATAATTTCCATTTGCGAGAAAATTCTTTGAACTGATTTTCTATTTTTTTATACATTTTAAAAGCTGTTTTTCATATTTTTGATTGGTATGAAACTCAAAGCTTCATTTTGTGACAATATTTTGATGGCAATAAATTGAGATGTATCTTAATTAACTAAATGGATTTTTTTTCGAAATTTCGAGAGGATATCTTCTCGTGGCAATCGATTGACTATCAACGAATGCTTGACATCAAAATATTCCAATTTATAAAAGATATTAAATGTATCAATGTCATCTGAATGATGAAGATTCGACGTCATTGTCAAAACTTCCTGAAAAGTTTAATTTTACTCAAGGTTCAATAAAATGAATTAAATATGAAATTGAAATTGATTTTCAAAGTTGATATAAATTCATTTACAAAGATCGATTCTTTTGATAATCTTTTCAATTATATAAGAATGCATATCCAGTACATTATGTCATTGATAGACTATTAATTACAATTTCCTTTTGAATTTAGTTGATATTAAAATTTAATTTCCGGATTTCAATGTTATTTCAGTGAATCTTCATGTCTTTGTCATTTTGAAAAGAAAAAAAGAGAAGAGAATTGATAGAATTTCCAAATGTTGAACAGATCGTATCTAACAAAGAAAGCAAAACTTCCCTGTGGATTGTTTTTATTATCAGAAAGATAAAGAGGAAGTTGAAGTGCGATACGATTAAGATAACATTATTTTACGAGAATCTTGAAATGGAAATTTTTCTTATCTCGTTTCTTGCTATTGTCAAAATCACGTAGAATTTTCAACAATGAAAGATCCAATTTCTTTAAGTATCTCAATAATCTCTCAAAGGTGCATTAAAAATAAGGAAACAAAGATAGCGCTTCAACTCAAGAAGATTGAAATCATGACTGGATGAAAGTTTCCCTAATGTCGAGAATATTTCAATTTAATCGTCCAGAATAAGAAAAAGTCGCTTATGCTAATGTGGGTCATACATCAAATCATTTTATTCCAAGTGCTTTTAATTCTGATGATCCATTCGACAATTGATATTCATCGCTCTTACGCATTTCAAAAGCTTTTTTCATAACGATCATCTCATAAATTCTGACGAAATAAAACAGAGATAAATCTCTAAATTATACATGCAGATAAATGATTTCTTCTTAAAAAAAATAATTTAATTATTTGGAAACAAACGAAATCATTTTGCTTTTTACGAAATGATTTTTTCTTGTATACTTTTTTATATCTAAGAAGAAAAAGGAGGGAAACAAAAGTATTCTGAATAAAAATGTGAATTTCCCTGCTATGGATCATGAGAGAAATCCAATTTGTTTTCATTTAATCACTGCGAATAAAACTCTATGGTAAATTTCATACTTTCATCCATCATCCGTTGACTAAGCGTCTTTTCAGTTGTTGTTTGTTAAGCAGCTTCTGTTGAATGAATATTAATCACAGTAGAATGAAAATTTGAAGAATAAAGATTTCTCGTGTTTAAAACAAATTTATGCACTGGTGAAAACATGTTCAGGCTAATCAAATAATGCTGGAAATTGTAAATTGAAGTGAGAAATGGCTTAATGCAATGTCAAATGTTTTTTTTTTGTTAAACAAAATCCTTTAGTAATCTCACACGGCTTAACAATTGAAAAGAGAGGCTTCTAAAGAATTAATTAATTAAAAACAGATAAACTTTTGATTGTTTGGTTTGAATCAAATCATAATATTTTTGTGTTCATTTATTTTAAAACAACAGATTCGAGTGTTGTTGGAGAAAGCTTTTATTTATCTTTGTAAAATATGTTTTTAAAGTAATAGAAAATTTTAAACACTGAGATGAATGTTTTATTTGTTTTTAATTAACAATTTGTTTAAAACAAAAATTTCACTTCAAGAGAAAAAACATTAAATTAATTTCTGTAGATTTTGTTTAGCCTTAATCTTTTTTGTAATCTTCAATTTGAAATGTCTCAATTTTTAATAATAAACTTGAAGATTTTTCTTATCGCATCCTTGTCTCCTGTCTCGTGGCATTGGAAGCTTTCAACACCTACTCGAACCCAAGGCTATTTGCTTAGCTTTCATTGCTATCATGCTAGACGTATTGAACTTTGAGAACGTGTGCAATGTCTTCATTCTTTTTATGAAGACAAGAAAGTTTTCTTAATGGATTGTCCTCTAGACACAATAGCTCCATTTGCTAAATGATTCCGTTGCCTCTGAACATACATGTCGTTTAATTGGGAGACAAACGCAATGAATAATTCACGATGCTAGTAGTTTCACTAACATCCCTTAATTTCATTTATTCAACGAAATTATGTTGTTCTTTTGTCTTCGGCTATGTATTTTTAAGAAGAAACGATAAAACATGTTTTCTTATTTTTATATAATTGTCCAGAACATATTTTAATTAAACAATTTTCCTGGCTTTCTTTCTTGAAACATAAATATTTATTTATATTCTGTCAGTGTTTGCTTTTTGTTCAGTTTCTGCAATATTTGCAGATGTTCTTCTTGAATTGCTATTTTCTTTTGATCATTTAAATATTTGGAGTAATTAGTTAAAGAAATCTGCAGTAAAATTAATTTATGCTTTAATAAACAAGGATTGGAACTTTGATCAGAGTTAGTTTAAATTTAGAACTTAAATGTGAGCTTGTACACGAATGCTTGAGCTGAAAGATTCAATTAGTTTCAGTCTCTGATTTCAACTGAGCATCCATTTCATTTAACGATATTTGCGTCATCAGAATCCAAAGTTTAGTCTCCCAAAGACTTAGCACAATATGACACAAAAGATTACTCCAAATCCCTTTATGACGTTTTATCGCTAGTTACATGCATATTAAGAAAAGTGATGGAAATAGATCTTATAAATATCACTCGTCTTCATTCCTTGCCAGCCAATGACGAATATAAATCGCAGAAGACAAATTGCAGCTCAACTTAATAGTTGCCATTTCCATCAAAACTCATAATTTATTAGCTTCGAAGTCTGAAAGTATTTCGATAAGTGTTGGATTGTGTCATGAAATATCTGTCACAATTATTTATGAAGAATTATTTCTAAAACTGTTTGATTAATTTGAGTGATGGATCAATTAACAAATTTTTGATATGATAAATGGAATTCGCTAACTTAATTTTATTGAAGATGTTAAAGATTCAATTAATTGGCTTTTCTTTTCTTTTATTTTAATCAAATTGTATTTTAAGCAGAATTTATGAATGAAATTTTAACAATGATGTTGAATAATTAATATGACCTCATGACATTAAACAATTTCGTGTTTAATCTTTCAGAAATTGTCGAAATGATTCATAAAAGTTCAGCTAGGTAATTGAATACTTTATAACTTTTGAAATTGTTGGTGAGCATTAAAATTAACGAAGAACGATTCTCATGATGAAAAACAATACGTGGTGGATTCTAATTGCATAAGTTTAATTTTTCTCATTAAATTCAATTAAGTTATTGACCTACTTTTACATGTTCAAGTATTTGTACACATCATAAATCCGCCGAAAGCGTTAATTTCCTTAAGTTACTCATAAAAATTTAATAAGTAACTGTTTTAGAAGTTTCAACTTAAATTGTCTTCAGCATTTACCCATCCCAGCTTTCACTCCCTTTCCTTACAAAACAATTTGCGCAAAAGCAAATTTGCAGTGTCATTTACACCATAAATGATAAACATCGAAAGATCATTCTTGTCACGTTCGCATCGAAAATTGTCGCATTACAAATATGGATATTATTAAGATGAAAATGTTACATTGAGACAAAAGCGAAGCATTGTAAGGCGGTTACAATTGCCACCATCTAGAAGGAGTAGAAGTTAAAGCCACCAAAGTTGCCTGAAGCTTGCGTCTAAACTTTTGATGCTATCGATTTTATTCTCGTTTGCTTCCACAAATAAATTCAAATGCCGTTTCTCTCGAGTCAACAAGATATTTTGGCAGCTCAACTAAGAATTTAGCTCACATTTTTTTTTCTTTTATCGCTTTCATGCAAAAACACATACACACATATAATCAGTCACAGTCCGTGACTTGAAACATTATGGGCTTTAATTCTCCATCGTTTTTGCTGGCACAGTTTGAGAATGTTTTCTTATGAAAATAAAAGAAATTCTTGAAATTTTTATTTCGGTTGTTGGAATACCAAAAATTAAACCTCACATCATAAATAGCAAATTAAGTTGCACATTATTATTGAAGGATTTTTTAGTTTCAGTCAAGTAATTTAACGAAAAATTTCATCAATTTCTTGATTAACACTCAAGTATTTTAATGTTCTACTGAAATAAATGATACTTAAAATGTAACCTCGAAGGAATTAAGTGTTGGGTGGGTCTGACTGTTAAACTCATTGGAAAAACTTACATAAATTAGTTTCTGCTTTTTATTTAACTTACTAATTGTTACAAAAGATTCATAGCGATAACCTTTCTTGAAATACTTAATGAAAGTTTGATAACATTGTTTAAAAATTATTTTAACATTGCACGCATGGTAGCGAGGAATAAAATCATAAAATTTGAAATGCAAACGATGAATTCCTTTTTGTTTAAAAAGCATTTTAATTAAACTTTAATTCATTATCGTCCTGCACTTTTAGATTTTTTTACAAATATTTCTCTAATATTCACATGAGAATAAAGTTAGATTACTTTTTTTACCTTTCCCATAAAATGTTCAATAATCCATTCGATGCTGTCTGATTCTGAAAATGTTTTTTGTTTGAATGCCATATTTTTTTTATTTATGCATAAATATTTGGAAAACATTTTAGAATGTGATTCATTTGAATTTCATTTATTGTTTTTCTTTTTCTGTTATCCTGAGTTATCCTAGAAATATCGAATTCAAGTATTTTAATCAAAGTAGTAACGGAAACGAAGAATCTAATCTTTTTCAATCAAACTCCTTTTTCTAATACTAAGTTCATTCAGTGAACTTTGAAAAAGGAAAATTATTTTGTTAGAAAAATATTCAGAATTTAAATAATTAAAATAAATATTTGATTTAATAGACATTCAACAAATTTTAAGAAAATGGAGACGGAAAATCAATCGAAGATCGATGAGATTAACATGAAACGTTTGAATGATGCCAATCGACTCTACCGGAAATGTATTTCAGAAAAATGTCCATCTTTGATGAAAAGAACTTCACGTCATAGAAAAAAAATTCAAAAATTTACATCAAAAAAACATCAAAACAGAGTTCTCGTAAAAATTTGGAAGGAAAAAGGAATTGAACGTAAAATTCGATTTTACAATGACACATTAAACAAATTGGAAAAAGGAATAAAAGTCGCAAGTGCAAAACCTTACATTGTGGACAATGAAAATCACTTTAAAGCGATTGAAAGTTATTGCAACAAAATGCAAGACATGGAAAAAGAAATCGAGAAGACAAAGGATGAAATTAATCATCTCAAATCACAGTTGGTTCGAGTGAGTCGCAAGATGGATGAACTAAATCAAGAGACAGAATCTGAAGGTGAAAATTCTCGACTTTTATTCAAATAATTCAACTTGAGATTCTTTCAGATAAATTTCAAATTCATCTTCATAAGGCAAAACATTTATTGGAAGTTTATGAAGACCGTGTTGAAAGATCGCGACAAAGTGAATGTCTTTTGACCGTTGATAATGAAAAATTGAGAGAAATTATCGTAAATATGTTATTCGACAGAGCTGTTTTCAACTCTCAATGGTCAAAAATCGTGAAAAATTTAAAGAATCGCCGAAAGTTTCTGTTGGATATGATTGAACGTTCAAATCAAGCTTTTAATCATGGAGCAGAACAACTTGAAGGCTTAGAAAAACTTCAAATGAGTAGTAAAAATGATCGAGAAATGCACATTGCTGAGATGGTCACTGTTGAACGTGAAATTCGAGCTAATGAAATCATGAAAATGTTTCTTGGGGGAAAAGGGAAAAGACGGATAATGGAACCTTTGGAATCACGTGAAGTTCGTCGTCGTGACCAGTTCAAACTTGACCATGCAAACCGTCTCAATATTTACTACGAAATTATTAACAACATCATGAAATTTACAAAAACTTCAAACATCGTCAATTCTAAAAATCTTTTCGTACGTGATGAAAATGAAGGTTTTCAATATTACATTTTATTCAACTTCATAAATAACCAACTTGAAAGCTTTTCAAATAGTCTCGCGAAAGAGTCGACAGAAATTCAAGCTTCACAAGATTATTTCAACAACCTGATGAAGTTTTACGATCAGAAAATTGAGGAATTAAGACGAGAATTTGGTGAAAAAGTTGCACAATTGTTGCCATTAAAAAATGATCGTGAAAAACTCGTGTCGCAACTTATGCAACATTTAAAAACAATTGAAGATGTTATGAAAACATTGGAGTGTGACTTCAGTTCTGTTCAAAAGCTTTTAGGAGATCATAAGAAGATTACTTTGCTTAACATTCCAGAGTTCTTTTCACTGCTTGAGCAGAGAATCAACGAAGTTCTCGCCTTTGTTTTTTGTGATCAACGTAAAAATGTTGATATATTTAACGATGACAAGAATTTATGTGTTAGAAGTTTAAAACGAAGTGCTGAAGATTTTGTGAAGATCGAAGACGTTATAACCACTCAACAATGTGCGGAATGTGCTGAACGTGAAGATATTAATCGCTATGATGAGACGATTGTTTATCCTCTCGATATTGAAACTATCAAGGAAAAAATGCGTGAAAAGATTTATTCACCTGATATGCTTCGTCGTCTGCACAATCTCAGTAAATGTAATTTACCTCGATCTGGAATCATTGCAAGTCGTCGCTATGTCGAATGAAATTGACACTTGAAATAAAAAACTTTTGAACTTTATTAACAATTTCAAGTCTTGTTCTATAAAAAATTAATATCAATTGCAATCCCACACAATTGAATTCTGAAATTAAATTTCCAAATTTTTTTCACATTGAATTTTCACAAAATTAAATGAATGAAAAATTTGATCGGTTACAAAAGAATTTATTATGCCTAATAATACTTTTTAATTGTTTTCCTGAAATTGAAAACAGAAAATTCTATCAGTCTACCTTGCAATTTTCCATGTTTGTATCACTTTTTTACATATGCTAATTCGCACGCTTATACAGCACTGAAAAGTTGAATAATTGACCAGCTTTAAAAATTGGAATATTTCAGAATAAAAGCAAGTCCATATCAATGGTAAATAAAAAAATTATTTTAATTAAATGTAAGTTATGGATTACTATTGCTCGAAGCAATAACTGGGAAGTGATTTAACCTGATGGAAAATAAAGTGAAGCATTTTGTAAACTCATCCGTCGTTATTTATTGCACAAAATTCAATGTTGGACGTACTCGAGCTGGGTAATCGTTTCTCTTTTATCTATTTTTATCGACTTTTCACCTTTTATTTATTGTTTATATCTTTAAAAAAATTTACTTGAATATTACGAACATTAGTAGAGTTTTCATTTATTTTCCCTCTCGTTGGGTTTCTCCAAGAATCTCACAAAGAATTTATACCCAAAGTGTTAGAGAAAGAATTTTACTGATTTTTACAAACAATTTGATTCCAAATGGTAGCATCCGAAGCTGCAATCGTTTAAATGAATGCGGCAGAATTAAATTGTTTTATCGCGAGTTTTCTAGCCGCAAGATAATTTACTATGCTTAATGGTGTTGATATCTGATGGCGTTTTCAGAGAGAATTTTTTAAAACAAAATGTAGATAGTTAGTCAGAATATTTATGAAAGAATAATTAACTTATTAATCTTCCCATGGCTTGTTTCCAAAACATTTTTGAAAGAAACTTTAAGCGAGCACTTAAGTTTGTTATTTGTTCGAATACTTACTAATGCAACTCAATGCATTTAGCTTTAAGAGGAAAAAGAAAAGTTTTGGAGTAAAAAAAGTATGACCAGTGCAGATTCGAAACAAAATAAATTGAAAATATAAATTAAATATGTCTGAAGTTAGAGAAGCGGACACAATTGCAAAAAAAGTAAATTTAAAAGTTTTCCATTGAGAGCGAATCTTTTTTCCGAAACTAGAAATGACGAAGAGAACAAGACAGAATTTTTTAAATAATAATTTGAAACAAATTTGAATTTATGAAAACATCACAAACTTAATCTGGTTGTTTTTATTACCGAGGGATAAAAATGAAGAAGAAAAATCATTTGTAGTTTTAATACTGAGGAATATGACAAGGGGATGAATTTGAAGTTATTTGTTGAGCAAATCTCATAACAAATTTTCTATTCTTGAAAGAAAGTTTGCTAAGATCTCTTCATATATGTACCTGCATATCTACAAGCCAACATATATTTTTGTTTCTTTATTTACTTGCTATGCTTGTTTGTTTCGTGTTTTTTTTCCTCCTTTTTCTGATTCAATAAAACTTTTCAGTTTCTTTTTTCGCTTTCTCATCGGATTTAAATTTTTTTCTGATATAAAGTGAGAAAATAGAACATTGTTAGCATGTGCACGAACTTCGAAACTCTAGCTTTTCTTACCTTTTTAAAATAAATTGATTTTCTCTGCATTATCCATTCTCCTTGTATAGATTTGCATTTGAAATAATTCTACAAGGATTTCATGAAACAAAACATCTCTTAGAAGATTGTTCATCATTTAATGATATTGAGAAAAATCAATACCTTAAGAAGAACTCCGAGTAAGTTTGTGCAAAAGATTTAATCTCCTAAGGTTAAAGTAAAGTAAAGTCTATATACATAATGTATTATTAAACTTTATATAAATATCTGCATTTAAAAACAACTTCATAATCCTCCTAAAATTCCGACCGATAGATCTTGAATTTTTCCATTTCTGCTTCCTACATTCTCTTGCTTTAGGCGTCTCTTTTTTTTCATCTAACAAAAACTGAAATGTTCATGATGAAACTGGAAAAAGTCAAATATTATTCCAATGCACAAACTGAACGAATAAATTATTTTAACAAAAAAAGGAAGATGAATTTATGTTTAACGTTAATATTGAATTAAAACTCAATGATACTCAGACAGATATTCAAGAAAAAATCACTTTTATTTTGACCTTTTATTCAACATTTCCATTTTTACAATTTAACAAATCTATTTTTAGATATCTTACGAGTATTCTGACCTAGAAGTTAAAGTCTGCATGATAATAGCAAAATCTGATTAAAACTTTTAATCATAAAATTATTTTTAAATCTTTTAAACAATGGGAAATGTAAACTCAACAATAAAATTATTCTATTTCAGTCACAGCTTCTGTCTTCATGTTTTGATAATATTTCCAAAATAAGCTAAACATTAATCTTTCGACTAAAATCATACGTAGCAATTATGTCATAGAATTAAAGTTAAAAACGTAAAATTGGATGTATTATTTATGCTCATAAAACTTTTACAACTTTAACTTTAAATTTATGTAGATGTGCGATTATATAGCGAATTTGTATACGTACACATATATTCATGTTTCATGCAGCCATAAAACACAAAATTTGTAATTCAAATACACGTCGTTGGCTTTTGCCTGGGAAATCAAAGTTAAATTTAGCATCGCACAATCGTATACATTATAAATTTTCTGCTTTTTCATAATACTTATGCTATTTTGGTTATGTGTTTGTTGAGTCTGGGATTGAACCATTGAATTTTATAGTCATTAAAGATATTTAATGTTCACTTTATGATAAACAGATATGCCTTGGCCTTATTCATCCCCACTACTCGTTAATTACTTTATAAGATTTGTAAGCTCTGCAATGAGCTTTACTTCATATCATTCACTCACCCAATCGAAAAGTACTTTCGTGAATACTCAGTTGAGATATAAAAATTATTTATGATCAGTTTTTTATATTATTTACATCATGTTTATTTCCTAGAACTTTTATCAGTTAAAATTATTATTAATTAATGGACTAGTTAATTAATTAATTAATGCTAATGGCATATTCTAACGTTAAATGTGATTTGCGTATAATTTTGTCAGAGATTATGTTGAAATGCGTTGAAAATTAATGCTGTCAATGAAATTTTGCATAATTAATTTATTCAATCGTTTGGTTGATGGGAAAAAAAATATTTTATGAGTTTAAAATTGAGATAAAGTTTATCACAAATAAAACTAATTATTTTATAGTAAGCATCACTGTTCATTCATGAATGGTATTAATGGGAAACTATCATCGAAGAATGAATGAAAGCAAAGTTCTGTCGGATGTCAGCCATGTTGTTTCATTGTTTTCCATATCGACAATATGCAAGTCTGTTACAAATATTGAGTTTTACATGGCAAGCTTTTAAAGTAGTTTTGCGAGACAGAAAGTTGTTTCAAAGCAAAATGAAACATAAATATTTACTTTAAAGTTTGCATTTACATGAATATCTATTACGAGTCATTTATTTGGCAGTTACAATGTTAAATCTTGAAGATTCAGTTAATAATATAGAATTGATTCTTCCACTAAACAACATAAAACTTTCATTGTTTGGCACGCGAAAGTTGGAGAAGTTTAAACTCTCGAAATTTCCGTTTGATCCCTTTTTGAACCCTTTTGAAAGTTTTTATTAGTTCTCGTATATAATGATTAACTTCCGTTATAAATTAACCCAAAATTTTCTTTTTTCTTCTTCTTTTTCTTTGAATATTAAATGAGGAAAATATTTATGGGAAAAAAAGGAAAATTCTTTAGATTGTGAAAACAACAAAAGCACATCTGCCGACATTTCACCGTCGAAGCAACTGATACTTGATATATAAATAATTTAAAATCAAAAGTAAGATCGTGTAATTCATCATTCCATGTCGTTGATTAAAATTGACATTTTTCGAGTTACGTCCCGTTGATGCCTCTAAATTTTCTCTCGTCACCTGTTCGTGACATTTTCCAATCGAAGACAAGTCAATACGGCTCATCTGTAGGCCGTTCAATTCTAGCGGTGAAATACAAAAATTCTTTGAGAGGAACTCGTGATGATCGTAAGACGATGTATTCACAAGTGGGCTTTCCAGTAACGTATGAATATGACAGCCACATGGAAAATGATTATTTTGGACGATAATAGTTTCGATACCATCTAAGATAATAGTTCCAGGCTCAGGTGTTTCTAATAAATGATTTCCATAAATTTTGAGTGCCTTGATATTATGTGACTCAGTCAAGTTAAGCTCAAGAATAGCGTCAATTTTATTGTTAAGAATATTCAATGATTCTACATAAGCGAGGCCGTCAAAAGCATCCTCGGATATAATACCTAAATCTGATTCTTGTAGCGAAAGTACTTTAACATTATGAAGGTTACGAAATGAAAATGGTTGGAGGGAATCAAGATCCATAAATGACAGTTTTAGTAATCCAACGATATCCAAACCGTTGAAGGCATCAGGCTCGATTTGCCGCAATCCACTTGGCAATATTAGACGCTCGACATTTGTTAGACTTGAAAATGCGAATGGTTCCAGCTTGATCATTGGATTGTTAATTAAGAGAATCATTTTCACATTAGCTGTGCCAGCAAAAGCGTATCCTTCGACACGCAATATTTTATTATGTCCTAGGATGATTGTTGATATGTTCTGAAGGCCTGCGAAGGCAAATGGCGCAACCGTTGTCAACGGTGTATACTGAATAGACAGTTCTTTTAGTCTCGGTAAACCACGAAATGCAAATGGCTTAATTGTCGTTATATTGTTACCATCTAAAGTCAGTTTTTTCAATGCTCGCAATCCTCCAAATGCATCGCTTTTAATGATCGGAAAATTGTTCTTTGTTAACGATAGATGTTCAACGGTTGGCGGAAAATGTTTTACAGGAATCTCTTGTAATCCACCAGTATTGCACAGCACCTGAATGATATGATAAGAGAAGAGAAGAGAACAATTTACTGAAAATGATTGTCAAGTGATTTTTCGCTTTAACAACTTTTCCACCCTCAATGAAACTTTTCATGTTGTCTGCAATGAAATCTGTCAGGATTGTAAAATATTACGAATTTCACGAATCTGATGAAACTTGGTAAGATATTTTTTATTTTATTGTTGGTTTTTAATCTTTACTTGAATTAAAAAAGCTAAACAAGAGTATCAAGAGATATTTTTTGTTTTACTTGTTTTAAGCTAACATTTAACATTTCTGAAAGTCTCAATCTCTTTAATTGAATTTGCAGGAGGCAAAATTCTATTTGAAGCCCACAATTTACATAATTTTGTGATGCGGCGCTCCTTTACTCGCTTTACTAAATATTTCCTTTTCCTTGGTCTAAGCTTTGATGGAGGAGAGAAAGAGGAGATCTACGTGATTGTGGAATAATCTTAAAATTTATTCATTTAATTACATTATGCTTCCTTTGTTTGAGTTGTTGAATTTCTTCATCGTTTGAGCCAGAATACTTAATTAAGTTTTTTGAGGATAATTTTAATGAAATGTTTTTTTTCTGTTCCTCGCTCAAAGGAGAGAAATGAATAAGATTGGATTTAACTAACTTTGGGTACAACAAAAAACTTTGTCTTAACTCTACATAAATTATCTTTTAAAATGACAAATGAGAGTTTGCCACAAAATGACTCAATTTATTTTTTTCTTTTCCTTTTTTAAAAATTGGATTTTTTGTGTTTTTTTTTCTTCTTTAACTCACCTGAGTTTGTGACAAACAAATGCATTCATTTGGACATGCTAACGTTATTATATTAATGATTGGACTCGCGTTCAGTGTTATTTCCAAGCATATTATCAGCCACCAGATTACATTCATTGCAATTAAGCCGTTTGTCGTTCTTCATTTACTCTGGAAGAGAAGAGAAAGGAAAAAGAGAAAATTATAAGGAAAAGTTTTAATCGTTTATGAAATAAAATGTGCATTAAGATATTCAAATATTCATAAAACAAGGAAATGACTTTAAGCATTAAAAGGAACTTAGCGTTAATGCCTTAGACTCACTAGAGTTAATATTTGAACGTCGTTGGTTATATTCGCATCACATAAAGTTGCTTTAAAACTCATTCAATTTCCTTATCATACATACATGATAAACTCTACAATTTAATCCCCTTGATTTAGACTCCTAACGAAGCTATTTCTCCAATCCAACTTTCAAATTTATTTACCAAGGACGGTTTAAACGATGAACAAACAAACAATACGAACTCTGAATGAATACATTTTTGACGACATTATTTTTCTATGTCTTTAATTAAGGATTACCATTCAATAACCAAGTCACGATTAAATAAGCTCTTGTCCCTCACGTATTTATTCGCTTTGTATCATTTCGCCGTAAAAAATGACACTTTTTTGCTTTTCTTGTTTTTTGTTGCTTCCTCGTACATCGGACAAAGGCAACGAATTTCTTTTCCCTCAATCAGTCGAAAACTTTCTTTCATGTTGTTTTCTTCCCGCCGTGGAAAAGGAAAATTCGAAAGACAACCGAAAAAAAAAATCGATGAATGGATGAAGGCAGAAAATTTTATTTCTCTTTGTATGCAGCAGAGGGAAATGGGAAAAACAAGTTGTTGATATCTCTAAAGTCCTTTTCCTTTCAAGACCAAGTCCATTTAACCCTTATTTATATCGGCAAAAGCAAAGTCTTAGCCCTACAAAAATTTGCTTTCACTTTCTTGCCTTCTCTGCCTTTTTTCCCTTCAACCTTAAATGGAAAGCCTAATAGGGGACAGAAAAAGACTGAGTCGGCATTCCTGTGAAAGACTTATCGTCTTGGGTAAATTAAATAAAAATTTGGAAGCTGATTATTTCGATCACCTCATTACACTTTTTATGAGTTTATTTACTTATGTAAATATTTTATGAATTTTTTATGTCTTCATTTCCGAGGGAATTTCCTTCTCTTTTCTTTCTTTTTCTTCTCACTTCAACGTTGAAGAAGAAAAAAATCCTCCAGAAAACTTCATGGTTGAATAAGCGAGTCTTTAGAGAGTTCACTTTGAAGTGTTTCGTTTTGCCTTCAAATATCGAAGGCTTTCTCACTTTTTAAATAAAATATTCAAAAATCCACAAACCAAAGTGAGGGAAAATTTATTTCAACTGAGTTTCAGAATTAGCTTACAAATTTCGAACATATTTAAGCGAAGGATATCTCTCCACTGAATGCCTTGTTATTGCCTATGCTTTCTTTTTACTGGTAACCCAAACATTTAGCATCATAAAATTCCGGAAATTTCTCGCATTCCATTCACACATTCATTCAAAAATATTTACGCAATTCAGAGTTCACAATATCGTTTATTTTCTCCCTTTTTTCATAGCCCATTGCCACTTTGTACTCAATGAGGCTGTAAAAGAGGTTGACTAAACTTTTGTTTCATTTTATTAGAGCAAAGAATTTATTTGTCATCAGACTCATAATCGTTCTCAAGAAAAAGAAACTTTCCATATATTTAGTCAGCCACATTTTTACCCTTTGTTTCCAGGCATCTTCGTCTCCACTAAATTTCTGTGATAATGAAAATAATTTGCTAAAAGTTTTCCGCTTGTTCCAACGTCGTTACATTGTTATGATTATATTTATACTAAAGATAAGAAGCAACAACAATGATGTTCACTTTCTTTCACATTTGCTTTCGTTTCTGTTTCGAGCGAAGTTTTTCCTGTTGCGAAAGTTTCTTCCTCCGCTTTCTCAAAGTCTGCTCGCTCCCACTTTTACATTTTTTTCGCTTTCTCATTGTTCGTCTGATGATTTCGTTTCAATGATAATCAAAAATAATAACACTGAGTAACATACGGCAACAGCATGAAAAGAAAGAAGAAAGAAAAAGAGTGCGGGGGAGTTAAAGTAAGATAGTTACCGTCTGTGAATATAACCGTAAAGCTAACAGCTCTGAGAAAAACTACCTAGGGTAGAAACAATGAACAACTTCATAAAGCTCATTTAGGCTTATAATTTTTGATCCTAATTTAAGAAACTTTATATCAACTGTGTAGGAAAATTTTCATCCTTCTCACTTGAAACGATGAAAGTTTTTCTTTAAGAAGACGACTCGTATTTTGTGTAAAACCATGACATTAAACCCGTGCAAGAAAATGATTTCTTAAAAGGGGAAGGAAAGGTTATGCCACTCAATTACATTGATTTTTTGGTGAACCTTCTTAATCTGCTATAAAATGATTGAGTTAGAAAGAAAGAAGATAACTTTGTAGAATTATTCTGAGATGAATCCTAAAATAATAATCTTTTGTGGAAGATGATAAAAAAAAACTATTTGAAATTGAATAAAACTGAAGATTGTTTATTTTAAATCATGTTCAGGTTCTCGGAAGTTTCCATAATATTCAGTAATACAAACACAAAATTATTTCTAAAGAACTGTATGTGGGTGTCGATATTAAGTTACCAACTCAATTAAGAGAAATGCTGAAAGTTTTATCGAGTTTATAACCTACAGAATACGTTTCACATGTTTTGATCGTTTATTTTAAAATAGATAACCATCCGAGAAACATATTTCATATAGTAACATGAATTTATGAACATAATTAATATAAATATCTGCTTTTAGTTATGGTGGCAATATTTTATAATCTATAGAAAGCCAAAAACCTATGATAATGCTGCCATGTTTTCAATGAAAATCAACAAAATATCTCCGTATCGATACAATTATTTATAAATAATTATGAATTGAAAATATTTTTCGTAAAAGGATAAAACTGAAGCAAGCACAAAAACATTTTATTATTTTATCATGGCTTATTTGCAAAAACTACTTCACAAAACTAACAAAAAACTCACAATTCTCTTTCTCTCTTTCAATGTTGCTTCAAAACGAAGCGATATGCATTTTGAATTCATTAATTGTTAATAGAGATAAGACTGCAATTTAATGGAACACAAAAATAGATTATTCTGGTGAGGTGACATTGTTTTCAACTTGAAAACATGAAATGGATGAGTTGACACAATAATATTGCGAGTGCTTATAAATCGAATTTCATTGAATTTTTCAATGAATCAATCATTGGGAATTGCGTAAATATGTTCGAATTTCGCAAATATTAAGTAACAGCTGGTTTGTCAACTTTTAATCATTTCAACAAAAATTGATAACACAGCAAAACATTTATGTTGTTTATAAATTAGATAGTTGCAGCTGTTAAATTAACTTATTCACACATATTTGTGTCATATTGATTGCAAATCTACAGCTTTTGTTATTTCCTTTCAACAAACAGTCGTAATTTAGAATAAAGTCAGATTGTGGTTGCATACAAATGACATAACTCCCGTAAAAGAGAAAAAAAGCATCTCTAAACTAAGCATCTGATAATGTCGTTTTCGCCATCATTCCACAAAATTCAACCTCAAACCCTCATCAAACAAACAAACAAACAAAACAGAAAAAAAATGTTGAGATGCCCTCGAAATCACAAAACTTCCAATCTCATTATCTTCTCATAAAACATTCTGCCATCTCCAACGAATGTTGTTAGACCTAATACTTGGATAATTTAAGAGCATTATCAAAGATTATTATCGTAGCTGAATTACATTGAAATCCTCAGTGCTAATCTGTTGTAATTCCACGATGATATAATTCTGATTTATTCAAAAAAAAATTTTCGCCCCAAAATTGTTATCTAAAGAAGGAGAATGAGATTCCAGACGAAGAAAAAAAGTTGATGAAAAGAGAAGGAAGAAGGAAAGAAACGAAACATGTTGAGCGCTACTACAATTGGCAGTGTCTGAAAGCGAGAAAGGGCATTAAATGTTTTCTTATTATATAAAAGTTCATGAATAAAATATCTGCGGTGAAGAAAGCAAAGGAAGGCAAAAAAATGTATAATTCTTGTCATCATTAATTAAACTGGAACAAGAGATCATTCATCCGGTGGTTGGAATGAATTTGACAAATTTTCTTTAACTTTTTTATTTCACATCTCTTCGTGGTTTGAGAGATTCTGACACTCTTGAACTTTTCCTTTGTGTCATGAAATTATTATAAATTTTTAAAAGTATCAAGGTAAAAATTTTATAAAATCTCTTTTTTCAAACTCAGGTCTCATTAAAAAGTTTTTCAATTCACGAACATGTTGAATTTTATTAGTTCTTTGTGAAAAACATTTAATTAAATTTAAATAATCTCAACGTGTTCAAATAAAGTTTCTTGAACAATTATTTAACATTTCATCCGTTCATTAAGCTTTTCTGTCTCTTATCATGCTAATGCTCCATTACCATTTCCTTCTCGTATTATTTTTTAAATAAGAAAGTACTTTTCGTCTTAGAGAAAATTGAGTGATACTTTTCTGACAACGACATAATCATTCATACTTAAATCATTCTGCATACTTAATCTAATTTTCTCGTGTGTAGATTCTTTTAACAACATTAGCTTGAAAGCTTTCCGGTAAGAATAACTCACTTGATATCTTTGTATTCTATTTCATTCCGCTGCTGATGTTGTATTTTATGACAACTTAAATATCCTGTGATAAATTTATTTATTTTTTTATTTTTTGAAGCATATATCAAATGATGTTCAGATTATTCTCTTATCTGACGACACTCAACTTTGTTTTTATTATTTTGACGGAATGAAACGACCAAACAGCAGCTCATATCATATACTTCCTGACTTGACAACATTCGTAATATTATTTAGTAGCAAAAAGTTGTGTGCAGCAACATTATGTGCACGACTTAGTTTGTGCTCTTTCTACTGTTTTTCACACCTCACACCCAACTGTCCTTGTCTCCACAATCTTCTGTTCTTCTCATGCAGCAAATTAAATTTATTGCAGTTCTCAACTTTCTGCAACCTTCCCTCGTTCGTACACTATCACTTCAAGAGCATCAGGAAAAGTTTTTTAATCAACCTGCAAAGCTACTCTCAAGCTTGCATTTCTTTTTTTTCAATGTTCACTGTTTACTCAAATATCGATTCCGATTTGTTCCATATTTTTTTTAAAGCCACACATAAATTCACGTACGAAATTTTTATTGTGTCACTGCATTAAAAAAGCTATTAAGTAGCGAAACTCACGTCTGCTATTCGCTTAAATATTTTGCTTGCTATAATGCAATGAATTATTTTGTGTGCGTTTTTTTTAAAAAACTCTCACACATAATTCACATTTCACTAAAGCCACACAACGTGAGATGTGAGATATCCTAACGTAAATCTTTCTGTTTCTAGTTGAACATTTTTCAGAAAGCAGACATCGCTTCTCAACTGCAATATATAACTTTATGTTTTATTAATTTTGAATGTTGCGGAAATTATAATTTTTATTTATGTATTTTTTTATTATTTTCGAGGGGATTTCGGTTGCCTTTTCACTCGATGAAGGTTGTGCTTTTTTTTCTTTCACTTCGTAAATATATATGGGGGAAATTGGGCTAAACATGAAGATTTCGCACTCAGTACTGACTACATTTCGTCGCTATGAATATTTAATAACTTTTACACAAACAATAATTTATTGTTTAACATCTTCAAGCCGCGTTCTTAGCCCTCACTGCCGTTTTGAATAAATATTAGCTTTCAACTCGTAAAGTGAGTTTGCTTTCGTCTCGTTTGACTCGTGGTGTAACACATTGATTTATGGAACCGCAACATCCTTCCTTGATTGTTCACAATTAGGCTATGACATTCCACAAGGCATAAACATTTTCTACCTTTAGGAATAAATTAAAATTTCAATGTCTTGTTAAGCTTTTGACTTGAAGAATTTCTTAATTATTTCTGATTCTCTTAAGTTAGAGTTAATGCCGAGACTGTAAAAAGCACATCCAACTAGGATGAAAACTAAACAATCACTGAATCGCATGGAAGATAAAAGCAACGAAACCGATGAACTCATTTCTCTTGCGATTCTATTTTCCTTTTTTTTCCTTTTCATCTTCATCGTCGTTCGCACACGTTTCGAAAAAAATATGCATAAAATGTGAACGAGACGAGAAACTAGATAAACGAAAGTCATGAACGTATTGTTTCTTCGTCCATCTCTCATTTTAGCATTGCGCAATCTCAACACATTGCCGAACATTTGGTGAGACGAAAATTAAACGAGAGAAAAATAAAGAAATCTAAGAATTGAAAGCATGCTTTTGAAATCTCGCTTTTACAGCTCGTTTTTCATCTCCTAATGAAAATGAAAATTTAATCAAAGTTTTGAATAAAGAGTTTTGGGTCAAGTCGATAAAACACCAAAAGGGGAGAAAAAGTTTCTTTATTATCGGAAAATTGACTTTAACACCCTCCAGAGTTGCTACATATAGTAAAGTGAATGTTTTATTTTGTAGGTCTCTAGATGAAGTTAATTTCATTGAGCATTGTTTGAAATCTCAAAAAGCGATGAGAAAATCAAATTGTTCATTATCGTCTTAAGATTCCGACCCACGTTCTCTCATCCACAGTTCATTTCTTATGCATTAAACCTTTTATCTGCAATACTTTCGAACCAGTTCAAAACAACAAATTTCATTACTTTGGGATCCCCCATAATAACCTCCTGAAATATGTTTTCCCATGAAAATTTTATTTCCTTAAGCGCCAGTGCCAAAAGGCTGAAAACGGCATTGAAAGGGTCAACGGAAAAGAAAACGGGAAGAAATGACAATAAAGGAGCTTCAGTTTGAAATATTATAATGGGCTATAAGTCATATTGTTTTCCGGGTTTATTATTTCGCCATCCCTTCAGGCAAGAAAAACATTTTTTTCTGTAGGATTATGTCAAAAGTTATGTCGAAAACATTAATAATAGTTTTCACTGAAAAAAAGATTATAAAAGTTTTTTTGTCTCTCTTTCAATTCTCTTAAATTTATTAAATGTTTTTGTTTATCTGTTTGTTATTCAAAATTTCAAGCTACATAACTTTGAAATCTATCCCGACCCCATCTCTACAAACTAAAGTGAAACAAATGTGGAATGATAGCAACGTGTGTATTTTATTATTATTTCAACTCGTACATAAATTCTCTGACATTTCTTTTCGTTTTGTTTCACATCGTCTTATAATAAAATTGAAATAATATATTCATGGACGTTCAGGTGGACCCTAAAAGAGAGTGAAGCAGATAAGATAATTTATCGATATCTGTTGGAGCTTGCAGAATGGCACACATTTAAGGGGAAAATCTCGACCTTTTTTTGTGTTCTCACTTTCGTTCGAATGATCGTTGTCATCGAGAGTAAATAATCTAAACCTTCTTAAAGATGCTATCTTAACGTTTTAAGAACTTACACTTTTCGATAACATAGACATTGTTGGACTTGAAGAAGAACAACATTAATCTAACATGCAAAGCAGGTGCCGCAATTAAAAGAAAGTTTCTTTAGAAGAAGCCCACGAAACTTCGCTAAAAGTTGTGCATGTAAAATTTTTTAGGAAGCTAGTTAAAAAATAAAATTCATATTTTATGAATTCATGAAGGGTAGATGGGAAACTGCCTTGATAATCATGACTGAAAATGAGCAGTTTTTGGGTGTGTGTAAGAGTTTTAATCAACCCTTTTTGCCTTTTCTAATAAACCAACAATTTAGATTTTTTGAAATGCAAATTAGACGACATGTTAATAATATTTTCTAGATTAAGAGGCTTATGAAAGCTTAAGCAAGATGAAATCTAAATGATGTTTGATGTAACTTTTCAAGCTTTAAACTTGTTACTGTTGATGTTTATTTATTTTTGTAAATATTTTTTTAAACGAACTTCTTTCACTTGTGCTTGTCTTTATTTTGTTTTTATTTAAAAACATTGTTGACCTTTTAATGCGATTAATGTTTAATCGTTTACCTTTTCACATCTCATCCAACAATTTTTATCATTTTCAACAACAAAGTTGAATGATTCAAGCTTATTATAATTTAATATGTATGAATAATAAATTCGACACAATAATAATAATAAAAATTAAAACAAGTCATAAGATGTGTCTAGATACAATAATTTTCACCATAGTTCTTCTGTTCCAAACAATGAATTTATTTTACTGCTTGATTTAAACGTAAGATTGTTTTTCTTTATCACCCGTAAAAATAAGAATAAGAAACTCTTACAAACTCACCAAAAGAAAGGGAAAAAATATAAGAATAGTTCTACTATGATTTGAGATTGGATACGTGACTGTTATTATGCGATAAATTCGTGACGAGAAAATTCATTATTTTTTTTTAGCAGAGCCCAAGACAGGAATGAACATTTCCCATTTCCACTTTCCTCTTTGTGTATGTATTTTCATTTTTCTTTTCGTTATCAACAGCTAGGAAACGAGTAGGCAAACAGACAGTCTGTGGCAGTTGAATAATTTTATTGTTATGAGTTCAAATTTAGAATATCATTTTCGCTATTATAAACTCCATGCCAGAAACTGCTCCATCAATTTTTTTATTCCCATCACTCCCACTGCGCTTGTCTCTCACCCAACAACAACAACACGACTCTGAAGTATCGTCTTGCAGAGAATGAGGGGAAAAAAGGCAAATGCAAAGAAAATAAAAGATAAAATTATTATGGTAACATGATAAAATGAGATGAAGTCGTGCGAAAAAGTATCTAAAGAATTTATACAGTCAGTAAATGTGGAAATTTTACGCGGAGTGTAATTTGCTCATGTAGATGCTTATTGAATATAAAAGCACTTTTTTCATTCTTTAAACAACGGATGTCTTTCTCATGCGGGTGCTTATAGCAGCTTTATCTTTTGATATCTTCTTCGTTTTCAACTCCTTACGAATGTTGCAAAAGATTGTTGACATAAAAGTTTATCAGATGATAATGACATTTTTAAAATTAATTCAGCATAGAAAATAAACGATCAACTCTGTCCAAAAACTTTTCACTTTTCATATCTTATCGGTGGATATAAAATTTGAATGTAAAGTGCGAAGCAGGCACTCAATTTGAAACTGTTTGTCTTCCATCAACACCCACTTGAATTTCAAGATCTGTTTTCAAAGAGTTTTCATTTTAAGAATCTTCTAAACCAGTGATGGTTAATCATAAATTATTTCAATGTCTTGATAAGCTTAACTTAACGAAATTAAATTACCTATTGCGGCTTTAAAGTAATTTCCTAATCCTAAAAGTGATCAACTTTCTATCTCAAACTTTTTTACAAAAATATTTCCTGAGGAATTTTGTTAAGTACAAAAAAATCCCAAATGGCCTGATTTTCCTTTAAAAAACTTTCATTTAACATTTTTTAAGCACAGATTGGATGAGTTCAAAAAGTGGCAACTTTTATTCTTGTTTTAATTTTTTGCTTATCGCTTCGGGTGAAAATAGACATTAAAGTGTTTTTATTTCACGCCTAAATCCAACTTATCCATTGAAACTCTACTGAAATCCCTTGAAATTCTTTTTCTAATCTTTCATCGCTCTCTCAACTTTCATCATGAATTTTAATTTTATTTTTCACAGTTTTTCATTAATCCAAATAATCTTTGTTATTCTTCAATCAAAAATGAAAGAAATAAAACGATAGGAAGTTAAAATACTGAATGAAAATTAAATTAGTACTATGCAAAGTACTTTTTTCTTATCAAACAATTGATCGTAAAATGTTTGAAAAAATGGAAATGAGAAGAATAATTTCATGCAAATGTTGATTAAAAAAAAGTTGTCGTCATCATAAACTTTGACGTCGCATTACATCATTGAGTGTTAAGCATGATTTTTTGCCTTTCCATTATGCATTAAGTTTGTATGTTCGCAAGAAATGACAGGGACGGAAATGAATTATGCAAATTCAGTTAAAATCTTTTCTCTACTATATTAAAAACGTGTTAACACTATAACTTTATTATCTCTATTTCTTATTCTGATTTTTTTTTCTTTACACTTTCTTTGCACTAAAAGATTTAAAAGATTTGACAATTTTCGAAGATTCTTTCATATGGAGGATAAAAGCCTTTCGTAATGAGAAACATTGAATTAACACAAGTGTTGTTAGAGAAAACTGCAACTTCCAACTGCTTGAGATTTGTAAGAAACTCAGGAATGTTGCTGACATGTTTGATTTGATTATTATCCATGTAAATTTCCCGAAGATTTTCATTTCGAGAAAACATGTTTCCACTTATCGACGTGAGTTGATTGTTATCGAGGAAAATGATTTCGAGATGTCGATTTTTGCTGAACAAGTTCTCATCAATGTGTCGCAACTTGTTTGATCCGAGAGATAATTGCTCGAGAAAGTTAAGATCTTTAAATATATTCATGTGAAGCATATGAATCTCGTTATAGCTGAGAGTCAAAAACTTCAACGTCATCAATCCTTTGAACGCGTTTTCTGCAATTGTTCGGATTTTGTTTTCACGAAGATTGAGCGTTTTCAGCACTTTCGTTCCAAAGAAAACGTAATCCTCTAAATCTGTCACATCAGTATGAGTTATGTGAATGCTCACGAGATTATCTGCCATTGCAAAATCACCCCGCAACAAATGTTTTAGTGGGCCATCGTGAATCGCGAGATTTTGCATGTTTGGAAACTTCAGAAAGAAATCATTCGTGAAAAATTCCATCGTTTGAATTCTTTCCACTCTGAGGCACTCAACATCGTCATTTGACTTCGTCATTTCATGTTGTCCTTCTATAAATGTGATTCGTGTATTACGATTTTCAATCTTCAACTCTTTAACGACACAACTATATTTTCGAAACACGAAATCGTTCTTGAAAGTACATTTAAGAGTCGATGCAGTGCATAAACTGATTGTTATCAAAAGAATGCCAACTTGTAAGCTTAAAAGCGAAACAAATTTTACGATGAATAAAAAAATGAGCAATAGAAAAAATATTTGTGAGACCTACTTCATTGCTGTGCTTAATGTAAACTGAACACGCAATATAATGATATGTTTGTAAATATTTTCTGCTCATACTAACAATTAAATGTTATCACTTAAACGTGATCTTAAAGGTCAATTTTATTTCCAATCTTGTTTTTATTTTTAATATTTTTCAAATCAAATAACATTTGAACTTTTATTAAATTATGAATTGAGAAATTTGATTTGAAAATATCTTTGAGAATAAAAAATTTAAAAACATTAATCTAATGAAAATAATTCTTTAAACATCACAAAACTTTGAAATGTTAATTGCATTCAATTGATAAATTGGTCATTCATAGATTTTGTTAATAGACAGGATTATATTATGTTTTATTACTGTTTCCAGTTGATTAATTTTCATGGAAATTTAAGTATGACGAAGTCTGAATATAAAAGTTTGAACACATTGAGAGCTGAAATTAATTATTATTAATTTATAGCGACAAATTGAATTTAAATTTTAATCGAACTACTATCATGTAGATATTTTTAAGCTTGTTGGCAAATATTATGCTATTACCCCTTTCAACAATAAATATCTACTCCCACACCAGCTGATGCTATTAAAACTTAAGTAATAAAAACGAATTGACACAAGAATGAGAGCATCGTTTTTCTTTCTGTCCCCTTGAAAACTTCCTTCAACAAGCATAAACAAGTAATAATGACAAAAGTTTTATTGTTTTCTCGACCTTATGAATGTATGTGACTTTAAACTTCACTCAACTTTTTATATTTGAGGAGGATTTTTCAAGGAAGAAACTTTGTGAAGAAGAAAAAAAAACAACAAAGTTTCATAATATTCCACAAACGTGTTTTTCTGTATGTTATTTGCTTCATCCATGAGTATTTACACGCTTACTGAGTAAACAACAATATTAAAACTCAGCGAGTTGGTTTTCATCACAGAAGGGTTTTAAATATATTTAGGGATTTGATATTTAATTTCTTATGTCGCTAAATTAAATTTCAACATTGTGAATTCATGTAAATAAGAGCATTAAAGTTTAGACTAGTTCAGATTAAAATCAAGGACCGTGCATAAAAAATATTTAAAGTTTAAACTTTTTTTTTATTTTGTTAATGTAGAAAAAGTTTGAAAGCATGAGACAACTTTAAGAAGCTTAAACTTTGCCCTTCCATCTCCAATAAGATGCAGCAAAGAGATGTTAAAATATTTTTAGTCGAACTTTCGAGATGATTTTCCTTTGATGAAAATAAATGCAAATTCTTCTTGAGACATGTTTGAAGGGATGACCATGATGTAAGATTATCACAAACATAGCTCAATTATGGAAGTTCATGAAATGACACCGAGATCAACAAAATTTCTTGAAAACTTTTATCTTTTGTTCCTTATCACTAAGCTTTTCGACATAAAATTTACTGCTTTCTCTATGCACTCACCAGACTGTGAAGTTTTCCAAACACATGGAAATCTTTTACTGTGCATTTGTAGACAGAGAGATGAGAAAAGTACAGACATGACGTGCAGAACGCTTTGTAGGTATACTGAGCAGAAGAAAAAAATAATCTCTTCCGTTTCCGTGCACATCCGGAGAAGAATTCTTATGAATAAATCCATCATGCAATTTTGTGGGTGTTTTGTCATGGTGTCGAACTTATTATCATAACCGAAGAGGTCATCAACTCTTTTATGATCTGCATGTTTCAATTCTGTGGTTTTTGGGGAATTTGACTTCCGACGTTTTAAATGTATCAGGAATTTTGTAGAAATTATTACATTTTCTAATTACAAAACTTTTCTCTTCAACTTCACTTTGATGTTTCCTTGTCTCCTGCTTCTGTCAACGTTTCGAACTTCCAACAAAAAAAAAATATGATACAAACTCTTCAATAACGAACATGTTCTCTGATGGAAGTTAAAAACTTTGCTATGCATAAAATAAATCAAAACGAGAAAAAAGGAGAAGAATTCATAACACAATGAAACAATTCTGAAGACTTGATTTATTTTTGTTCAAGAAGCAAATCGATACATTTTACTGTGCGCAAATATCTATACCGAAATTTTAAGAAAATAGAAAAAAAAAAGGAAAAGAAAAGTTTTGCAACAAACTTCATACACGTTGTTTGTATGCAAATGGATTTATTTCTTCTTCTTACGTTTAAATTTATTGCTGTAAATACTTTCCTGTTTTTATGCAATACATAATCTATTCTTAGGTGAATCATAAGTTTCGTCTCTCTTCTTGTAGCGGCAACGAATGAATAATTTGTGACTTTTTAAACAAGGAAAATTTTTAATCTCGCAAACTATATTTAAAATATTTGTGTACGTAAATCCAGGATTCAAACTTTTTCCATCTTATTTCACTCGATAGTCTTCTTTAAATTCATGTTTAAATTTAACATCTTATATGTATGCAGATATGTACAAGTTTTATCAATAAAGATTTCACAATACAGATTAAAGTCTTTACGAAGTTCTTTTTTATCTCTCTACATTGGTGTCTGAACTACATAGTTCAATCGTTAAGAAGAGTCTAGATTAGGTTTCGAACGTGTCATTATCGTAGCACTGACGTATTTATCCAAATCTAAAACGTGCGTTACTCGCAAATAACAAATTGGTCATCAAAACAATAACAGAGACGTGACTGTTATCGTAAATGATGATGGCAAAGAGATGAAGGGAAGTGAGAATGAGATAATAGCTTCCCTGCCACATTGATGTCGAAGCGTGAAACAATAAAATTGTTTTGTTTTTTGTGCCATTTTAGATACAAGCAGTATGAAAATATTTGTTGGAATATAAAATGAGTCATTTTCAAAACTTTCGAATGGTTTTCAAACAGCCTGTCGTTCCATTCAACAAATAACTTTCGAATAGAAATATTTACATGGAAAATGAAGGAAATTAAGACATAAACATTCATTTGGTTGCAATATTGTGAACTTAACCGCTTCATTTTTGCAAATTTTATTATTTAATTAAACAATGAAAAAGTTTTTATGGTTGAAAATCCCAACTAAACATTTCATCATAAAATTTTTTGAAAGCCTGATAACAACTATGGTAGAATTATTTAAAAATTTATGTTTTTATGATCTAGATAAGTTGAGGAGCAAAAACATGTTTTGCAAGCATTAGGATAATGAAGATAGAAGGGATTATTACGTTTTATGTTTTATGCTAAGAATTATAAAAATTTCAATTTAAAATTTACTCAGCAAATTTCTTTTTAATTTATAAAGCAAACTTTGAATTATATGGGTGGATGATAATTTCATGCGAACGGTAAATTTAGTATAAATAACTTGAATATCATGTTTTGCTAATCGTATTTGAACAATGACTTATGCTTGAAATTTTGATTATGATTTATGTGTTCGATAATTCAATAATCCTTATTGATTAATTGTTGAGTAAACATGAATTATATCATTTCCAAATTGATCCTTGACATGTCATTGTATTGTTTAATATTGTTTTGTAAAGATAATATTTGATATCAACAAACAGTTGGTAAATGAATTCAAATAATCAGGAAATTATTGAAATGATGATTAGGAAGGAAATTAAAAATAGTTTGGAAAACTTTCTATTGAAAACTTTTAATAATTTTCAATTTAAGTCGTTCATTGATTTCTTGAATTTTTCTTTAAGGAAAATCATTGATTGAAGTCGTTCACTTGAAATTAACTTCTTTTGATATTTCACATAAAAACTTGTTCATTCACAATGTTGATGATAGAATGAAAATTTCTCAATTTTTTCCTTCATCCTTTGCAAAAAACCGCATCGCTTACATTTTCTTGATCCATAATTCCAAAAGTTGAATTGAAATGCTAATCTCCATAATGAAAATGCATGAAATGATAACATTTATTGAAATGAAATCCATGAGATTAGCTCGTTCAATGTTCAATGTTCAATTGCAATTTTCAAGAGATTTTCTAAAAGCGAGAACATGAAAAATCAATTGAAGTCAAATATTTTTCATTTCAATCTTCATCATCATTTATATTTTGAGTTTTTGGTTTTACACGCCACTTTAAAGACTGTCAAAATGAATTATGAACATTCCACTTTCTACAGTCAAGTCGTAGGTGAAATGGTTTGAATTTGTTGAATAAAAATAACAAGTTCGTGTTTCGAGTAAATTAAATTCTGCTACGAGTTGTGAATGAAAAAAGAAAAGTTTTGAAACATCTGTTGGAGTAATTAAACTTTTGATTCATTAACATTAATTTCTTGTTCATCAGTTGTTAGAGGCTGGTTGGAGGGAGGATGAGCTGACAAATGAGACTTTGCCATGAAAACCGTTGCTATTTTCCTTCGCCAATGAAAAATGTTTCAAGATTCGTTATGAAGCAAATGAATAAAGCAAAAGAGAGTAAGCATGAGTCGAATGGAAACGTGATTCTTTCCTTTCAGATAGTAAATTGATCATCAAAACAATAATAAAGACGTGACTGATGTTTCAGATGAGTTGTTGTGTTTACGAGAAAAACTAAGAGATGTTGAGAGAATGGATGGGAAGTAAAAATAAGTAGGTAAGGTGAAGGAAAGTATTTTCCTTCAACTTTATGTTCAGGTTTAACCTCAGAACGCAACAAACATTGAAACATAAACAGATCTATCATGTTGATGGTTATTTGTAGTGCGATGTGTGCGGCTTGAAATAGCAGATAGCAGACGATGAAGCAAATTTATTCTGATGCTATCTTCTCAACAATGATGAAGTTTATTAGATATTTCAGACAGACGAAAACCATCTCAAGCTTCCACGTTTCCTATTCTATTTTCCTCGACTTTAAAGATTCAACTCAATTTTATTGCCTTGTTATCGGTAAACCTTTCTCTCTATGAACGGAAGAGTTTTACAATTCTTAAACATGTATGCGGTTGTAAATAAATTCAATTAGTTAATTTTGTAGTTCAGTTCATGAGCTGAGTAATGACAACGACGTTTGAGATATGACTTAAATAAATTCTAGTGAATGAAATTTCAAACAATAATGAATAATGATACTTTGTTTGTGATTGTAATGTTTTGTAAGAGAAAGCTTGAGAGTATCAAGGGAACAGGAAGTTTTGAAACCTGTGAATATAATCGCATAATGAATGATGCTGTTTACAATTGTTTGTGAAATATGATGCTGAAATAGGATAGATTGTGCATGTCTACTTCACTAGTTTTGATGCTGAAGAAATTTCATGTTTGTTATTCCATTTAATGAGTTAGAAGTAAACAAAAACATTTAGATTCCAATTTCTCATTTATGCTCAGAAAGTTTTTAATAATGATGAATTGAAGTCTTGAATTGCAAACATTCATTCTTGTTCAATACTCTGTCAAAAAAGAAATAAAATTTCTCATAAACGTAAAATCGAAAAATTTTAATAAAAAATTTTTCGGTTGGTATGAACGACCTGAAAAGTATTTTACATCAAATTTCCAAAGATAAAGTTTCCTTTTTTTGATTAAAAACATAAAAAAGTCTCATAAGTGAATTCTGAGAGTTCACATATTGCAGATTTTACCTTCGGCAATACTCAACACTTGACATTCTAATGAATAATTCAAAATGAATGAATGAAATTTTTAATAAATTGCTGTTGTTCTTTTTTCTTTCTTTCTCTTTTTTTTTGCTTTCATTTGAGATTTCTATTCTTACGTTACACATTTTATTTTGCCATTTTCCAACTCTCGTCGGCATCTCGTAAGCAGATGAAAAATCTTTGCTGATTTTTCAACCTCTACACAGAAGGATAAGCAACATTCATCCCTTACTTTGGCTTAGACTCTCTCAAATAACCTTTTTCTTGTACAATGGAAGATAAAATATGTCATCTAAGCGATATTTATCATTTTAATTATAACAACAGCAGGTAATTTCCATCCTTCCATGTGTGACGCATCCATTTAGCGATGCTAAAGTATGAAAAATCACTTCATCTCTTTGTGGGAAAAATGCCAAATGGGCTCCCTAAATATTTGATGTGATTTATTCAAGAGGATTTGCGAATGTTTCTTCGAAGAATGTTATACTTGGCATTAGCACTGTCGAACTCAAGTGGAGCGCTTCATGGACCCGCTTTCATGCCTTCTTGAAGACATATCTTCAGACAACTTTCTCATATGCTATTTTCTTCTTCTTTCAGTCACAAATTCACAAACTTGTAGCGAGCATGAATAAGCACGCAATGGTGTCATCATTTTTATGACGGTTAATCCGATTTTCCTCCCTTGAAAAACAACGAGTTTTTCCCTTTCCCGACATGAAAGATTTAACTTGAAATTTATGCCATTTACATAAATTTTTATGTTCTATTTCGTTGCACAGGGCTTCTCGCGTTCAACGCTCAAATCGAGACAAACGGTGGGCGGTTTTTAGCGGAAAGGGTGGTGGATGAAATTGAAGAGCCGCCAAAATGATTCTGAAAATTAAAAATTTTGAGTTTTTTATTTCAAGCGTAGAATTCTCTTCTGTTGTTCTTTTCCTGTAGATTTCATTTCATTCCTCCCACCAGCTAGGGATTATACCAAACGTTTGAAGAGATGGAAGCAAGCAATAACAGCAAAACAAAACAAAAAATATGTTAAGCTTCGTGTTTGTGACATACATTTTGCGGCGAGAAGACGAAAGCTTTCTCATCTTTTCTCCGCTACTTGCTTCTTCTTTTTTTATCATTCATCCCCGTTGTTACGAAATTAGCAGAACATAAAAAAATTACTAAGATGAAAATCCATGAACATGGGTAGGAGACAACGGGGATGGTTTCTTTTTTTCTGTGTGCACGCTGTTTGACTATGACATGTGTATTACTTTCGTTTTGACATGTTTTATACTTTGTTTTTATCAAGGTTTTTATCACAAATATTTGCTACGTGTATTATGTTTCATGACAAGTTTCATTTGTCTCGAATGTCCGCTAGCTTTATATTTAAGTAAACAAAATCTTTCTGTTTTTTGACAAAAAAATTTTGCCATCAAAATATTTATTTGAGTCAGAAATGTGTTTACTAAAAGTGACCAAATTTTTAGTTATTTTGCATATTTCCTTAGGTGGTTTTTATGTTATTCGAAAAGAATTTAATAATAAAATAATTGCTAATAGTTCAACCTGAAATATTTCCATTTCCACTTGTAGATGTGTATAACAAAGCTTTTTGATCCTTTCTCAACAAACAGACAGAGGGACATAAAAATATTAAAACTTAATAGTTTTATTGCAAAAGTTTTCTTTATGGTAATGAAAAAAGTTTCAGGTTTTCGTTCGTGTCAGAAAATCGCGTAAAATATTTTTAATAAAGAAATAAACATTTCCCTTTGACGTTCTTGGTGCGACTGAGATGTAAAGTTCTGCTTCGAATAAGTAATATTTACAAAAAGAAAGAACGTTCGGCTTTTTATGTGCGCAATCTCACCAAATGAAAGGAAAAAAATGAGAAATTCATCATTCTAATTGAGTTATCAACAATTCTCTCTGTGTCATGCTTCATCTTCTCATTCCAATTCTTGTCTCCAATTGTAATTCTTTTCATGTGTAATTGTCAAATACTGAAAAGGAAGAAGTAAGAAGTCTGTGACATTTTCAAGCAACAAATTTATTCGAGTAGTCAAACAACAAGTATCATGAATTTATTTACGTTTATAACTTTATTCCCATTATAAGAATTCAATTTGTATGAATTTTCTTCCATTCTATCTATGTAAAAAAGCACTTTTCAACAAAATTATTTATGATCATTTTGCAAATGATTGTGAATTTGTGAGCTTTCCAGCATTGTAAGGCTTGAATTGTGATGTTTGAGAGCGTGTGGGAGTTGTGATGATGACATACGAGTCATAAATTATAGAGCAATTGCTTTAGTGGTGAAATGTTATGCCAGATGAAAAAGATTTTCCATGAAAAATTCTAAGCACAGGTAGAGGCAAGTTTTGTCAGTGTTTGGAAGCAATTTGTCATACATGTCACAATGATTTCCTTCTGAATTATTTATTTTACATTTTAATATTATTTGCAAGTGAAAAAATTTCAAACGAAATGTCATTAACATATAAACTCGTTCAAAAGTGATTTCCATTGAGCCTAATTGTCAGCAACAAAACCGACTTAATGCTTCTGTCTGTGAATCTCGCTCACTTCTTTTCCCAGTAACGTTCTTTCTTTTTTTACTGTTTTTCAAATCCCACATATCCTGAGGTTGAGAAAGGAAAATATTTAAATTTAATTCAAAATAATTGCTCATTCATATTTAATTTCTGTTGAAAACCGACAAACCATTAAATTAAAAGTGAATCAGAACATCACAATTGTAGCCGAAGGAAATGTTTCCCAAATAAAATGCAAAATTTTACTGCTGACTTTTTAGTCTCAGTCAGTGACGGTTTGACGAGAGACCACGAAAGAATACGATAATGAAACGAACCCTCTGTTAATATCATTGAAAAGAAGCAAATCAAGCATAAAAAGATTTGAAATTCATCGAAGTTTATATTTCAACTTCAGCAAGTTTTAATCATTTTATTGAATGTTATGAGGAATATTTTTCATCTTTCTCAATTATAACTTTAGATTATAATTTCAGCATACATAACAGATTTCATTTCACGTTTTCAACTTCAAATTTTAATGTTCATGAATTGCAAAATTTTTTTGAACATCTTCAACATTCACAATTATTTCTTCAAGTCAACATTTATTTCTACTAAATGTTATCTTGAATAAATTGGATGGAAAGCGATGAATTGAAAGAAACAAGAAAATACTTGAATACTTATTTACTGTGGTTACGGTTTATGTTGTTAGTAGATATGTTTAATTCAGAAAGATGCTCAAGAGTTACTTCATCTTGTTTCTTTCAAACTAAATTTGTTTTCCAATTTAAATGACATAATTTAATGTCAACATTCATTGATTTTTGAAGAAGTCAGAAATTCACTCTTGTTTGTAATGGGCAACACTTGACTTTACTCAAAGGATTGAATGATAAATAAATGGTGACATTTAATGTCTCTAGAACATTTATCTACTCCCAAAAATTGAACTATTCGGAAAGTTTTCAAGTGACAAGGTGCATTGAGATTCAAATTTTATGATAACCACAATGTTGGCTGAAAATGCTGAATGTTTATTGATACCTCCACTTAGTTGTGTGGTGATACATTTGGTAATAGTTCTCCCCTACCTAGAAAGTCTTCAATGATTGAAACTATGTGTTTGATATTGAAATTGGTTTTCCATGTGACTTTAGGGACAAACATATTTAGTGATGTTGATGCTTATATTATTTTCCATCGCATCTATCCAACTACTTTAATCAAAATAATAAATTTCCATATGAGCTTTAAGCCTCCAGTTGTCTTCCTCAAACAAGCAGATATTTGAAAAATAATTCGATTTTAATTGCATCTATTGGTACTTGAAAACAGATAACTTATTTATTTTCATTTGGAGTGATTCCAGGAAGCTTACAAACGTTTCTCAGTACATTCATCTTTAAAACGCTTTAAATTTAACACTCGTTTGGTTATTGAAGCATTAAAACACACGAGTTGTTTTTATGTTTGCTAACATGAAAGCAATTTGAATCGTTTCTTTTTGAAGATGTTGATAGAAAACAAGCGTCTTGAAACAGTTACTTTCACTTGAAATTTTCACAATATTTCATGTCTTGAAAATTTTGAGATGTTTAAATGTTTAGAATAAATTTGTACGAATGAAGTTTATAAAATTTTGGTGCTCTTCTGAGAAAAAGTAAGTCGACAGCCTGTCCTAGAATCGAGTTTAAATCCAATTTTCACCACATCCAAATGTGTGCTGTAAAAGCTCATTATGTAAGTTGTAAGAAGTTTAAAGTATCATTTTATTTCCGCCTTTTGTCATGTTTTTCCAAGCTTTTCGTCTTCAAATGCCATTAACAATTTAAATTCTGGGCTTTTCATGTTAGGCTTTTCTTTTTTAGACTTAGTCGATTGGATATTGAATTGTGATGAAGAAAAATAAGCAACATAATAAAAAGTTTAACATTTTCGATTACAAGTTATCTCTAAATGAAATATTTCGTTTTCTTCTTCACTCTTCCATTAAGCATCAAGTTAATATCAAATTTTGTTTTCATTTCCTAGGCTATGAACAAAATTGCTTTTATTTGTACTTGTTTTTGTTTCTACTTGTGCGAGTTTAAGTCTGTGTCAAATGGAGCTTTCAAAAATCATGAATTATTTAATGACACTCCGTTTTTAGAGCTTATTCGATAGACAAATTGCTACGAGCGTTCGCTTCATTTGTTTGTGGGGTTTTCGGTCTTTCATTTTGTGCTGTTTGCAAGATTTTAGATTTTCAATAGAAAAATATATTTGTAGACAAATCGAAAATTTATTTCGATACAAAATTTGATGGTTTCTTGTTGAAGCGATAGAAAATTGATTTGATAAATTTAAACTTCGTTAACGGCACTCAAATGATGAAGATTCACTTCCTAGCATGGGACATTGATAGCTTTGCTGAGTTTCGTATGCTAAAATATTGCAAAATTATGCAATGAATGCTTACATCTCCTTTAATTAATCTCAGACAATCTCTTCTTGATTAGAAACTTCACCCACGCACAGCATGAAAGTTTCATTACTACCGATGAAGACAACTTCCAATAGCATAAGTTTAATTTCTCTTCTTCCACCCTTCAACCCTCACTTTGTTTTCAACCATCATACGTGAGAAATGTTATGAAAACGTTAGAAATTAATTAATAGAACTAAATCGTGATAATAACAGAATCGTGACTAATGGAATCTAAGACCGAAAATCTTTCAAGTCGAAATTTGTAGACTTAAGAGCTTCAAACGTTACCAGATTTTCATTAAAATAATCATTGATTTCATACAGCTCAGATAATTTCAATGTATATCTATTAATTGGATGTTAGGAATAATCAAGTAGGACTTAGTGAACATCGCTTTGAGGTGAAGTTCCATAGAAGATTAATTGTTTATATAGCAATAAATTAAATTTGATCTTTCGATATTTAGATGAATACATTAATAAAGGAATGATGTGGAAAATATTTCCCTTTATAGTTAAATGATATGTTGTAAAAAATATCACGCTGAAGCTTGACTTAATTATCTATCTCCGCAACGCCAAACTAGAAATGATCAGTTTTGATAAAAAATTCAAAATTAAATTTCAGCATCTGCATGTCTAACTCAATTACACTGTGAAGCTGCATCAAAAAGATAAAATAAACTTTTCATTCTTTAAAATACTTTCACAGGTCAAATGAACAAGCGCATTTCTGCTTTTTCTTTCTCCTGTGATTTTGAAGAGAATTTTAAAGAAATGCAATCAAATGGAGGAACACGTGCCAGGTGTGAAAAATTTTCCATTTCTTTTTAGAAGTTTTCTTAAACTTCCATTATAGCAGAAACTGAATGGAACTGAGACAACGACGTTACAAAGAAATGCAATTCACTCGATGATATGAAGTCATTTCTGATGAACTCTTTTCTTTTGTGCAAAGATTTGCTGAAACTTGAAATTGAATAGTTTTGTGATGTTCACTCATTTAAATGTCTTGTTCAAGTCTCTTATCACGTTTTATGTCGAGAAGCACGTTAATTACATTTCCATCAACGCTATTCTTTAAGTATCAACGTTAAACATACAAATACTTGTAGACAAATATGTAAATCAAAGAATTTTCGCCAAAATCCATAGGACTGAAGTGACCTGTCGAGCAAGTAAAGACAGTTTGTATTGCCTTTAGAGTGTTCTTCAGTGCTGGCCCTAATGTCGATGACGATTACATTGAGGTTTTTAATTTTCTGTATTTTTATAAGATTCAACTTGTTTGTTTATATTATAAAGTTGATCACACAATCATCGTCTCTGTTGTAAACCTTGATGGTGAATGTGTTGATTACTTTACTAAGTCGTAGTAATATGTAGATAATTTAATAATTTTTCAGCTTTCTAAATTCAACAGTTAGTTATCAAAAAGCTCAACAATATATATTTCTATCATGGGCTTTTTACTAAAACAAATTGAAAAGAAAGAATGCTTTTAAACATCGATTTTTTAAAAACTATTGTAAGTAATGTGAAACTGTATCCGCCTTTGGTAGGCCTAAATGTAATTTATCATTGAGGTTACAAAGTGTTGTCATTGTCATTTATCTCTAAAGAACATTGTCAAGAACATTTTAAATAAGGTGATTCAGTAAAGTTGCTCTTTAACCAGGGGTCGGAAGCCAAAGCGGTAGCGGAAGCTTAAAGAAGCTCAACTTTTTGAGAAGCCGAAGCGGGAGCTTGGAAGCTTTTTCAGAATTTTGGGAAGCCGAAGCGGAAGCTTGGAAGCTTTTTCAAAATTTTGAGAAGCCGAAGCGGAAGCTTGGAAGCTTTTTCAATGTTGAGAAGCCGAAGGAAGCTTAGAAGCTTTTTGCGAAAAATCGTTAAGCTTCCGACCCCTGTCTTTAACTGAGTTTCATGGAAAAGTTTTTCTTCGATACTGTATGAAAACAGCCATGAATTAGATAAAAATTATATAAATTTAAAAATATTTGGTTTTGCATGACACCTTTCGGCGTATTAAGTCGAAATTTTCCATTC